CCCTCCCCAGCCAGATTGAGGTGTCACAGACAAGTAGGAGAAGGCACGCTGTGGCCGGTCAGCCATCCTTTGTGTGGCCCAGTCAGGGCTGGAGACCCTGGACTATCATTTGGGGTAACACCCACAGAGGCTGACCAAGGCTGGATCCAGACCACTGGAAGAACCACCCAATGATTTTTTGAAAGTTGACCTACATGCAAAATGTCAGATAATGAGATAGGCAATTAGTGAGGAGCATTTGTTCATCATGCCAGGCATAGCCTCAGCTAATGTGCTGTGACCTCCTGTGATTAAGGCTGGTTCCAGACAGAATTAAGCACCTTTGCTTCTTGAACTAGAGAGGGCGGCATTACCTTGAAGATGGAGGCATCAGCCAGTTGTGAGTTTAGTTGGGGTTACTGTTTTCTCTCATCTGGATCCTTCTTCACCTTGTTTTCCTATGACTTCTTTTCTACTGATTTAACTCTACTTGCCCCCACCGTGGTTTTCCTGAAACTTTGGTCTCAGGGAATGGGGTGCGGTGGGGGCAGGGGTGCCCTCTGCTGTTCAGTGTGTGCTTCTCACTCCTTTTGCTGTCCCAGAGCCTGGAGCCCTCCTGCCTCCATCCAAGGAAGGAAAGGTTTGGAGGTGAGGCTCACTGTGCAGATGTCCAGGCATCTGGGAGGAAGGATCGTGCTGGCAACATGTGAGGCAGAACCCACAGAGAGGCACTTCAACAGCTAATACTATTCTCTTATTTTGTAGTGTTTTCTTTTAAAATGTGTTCTTTTTTCAAAAAAAAAAAAAACCAAAACACACCTTGCTGCTACTTGCATCCTTCTAAGTGATCTTTAGTCTGCAGTAGCCCCCAGTAAAATCTCTTCTATCGGAGTTTGCCATTTTAAGCATATGTGAACTTTTGTTTACACAGCTCCTATAATTAGCCAACTCAAGTTAAATGCCTACTCAGTCAAGCTCAGGTTCAAGTCAGAGTGGTAAGGAGAACAAGTGGAAGGATGGAGGAATCAAAGGGAAAAAACCTGTCTCTTGTTCACAGAGCGTGTGCACCGCAGCTCAGAGAAAGGGGCTGAGGAAATGGGCCCGCCTGTGTTACGGGAACAGAGCTCCACAGCTTCTTCAACAATGGGAAACCCAGAAGTACCTGCCCTTTGCATGGCACAATAGTTGGCAGAAATGTGGGGCTCCGCAGGGAGTCTTTCCAGGTTCAGTGGCATGACCCTTTGTCCCATGAACACAGAGTTCTGCGGGCCACGCTGCTGACCCCCAACCCTGGGCTGTCACGTCACCGATTCCCTCGCTTCCATTTTCCCTGGTTCCTTCCCTCTCAGCTTTTCCACATGCTGTGCCCCTTGCCTTGCCAACTCCAGCTCTGCGGTCATCTCTCAGTGACACACTTCCTCCCAGGCAGGTTTTGACACCCTCCTCTGGATATACACTCAGTGTCTGCCTGCAGTTTGTTCCTGTGTGCCACCACGCTGATGCCGACTCCTAGCAACCCCATGAGACGAGTAGAACTGCCCCAAAGGGTTTTCTAAGCTGTAATTTTTGCGGGACAAGATCAACAGGTCTTTTCTCTCACAGAGTGGCTGGAGGTTCAAACTGCCAGCCTTTCGGTTAGCAGCCGAGTGCTTAACCACTGCACCACCAGTGTTTTGTCTCTGTGGTTTAGAGACCTGTTCATGGATCTGACTCCTCCAGAGGCTGGGGGATGGGAAAAGTCCTTATTCATTCCAGAAGACTCTTGATAAATGTTTGATGAACAAATAAGTGAACAAATGAGTGAGGAGTAGCAAACAGGAAATAAGCCCAGTACCTGCCTTAGGTAACTCATAGGCCTCCCTGGTTGTGGTGAGGACGAGAGGAAGTGGTTAGAGAAACACACAGTGACATTATTGGGGCTCCTGGGGCTGCTTTTCACAGCCATATCTGCCGTTTGCATTTGGTTACCTTCATGGGAAATCTCTTCCTCATCCTCACCCCACCCAACTACGATAAGGTTTGCCTTTGCCTTGCCTCCAGCTTTCCGTATTTAGTTTGTTAAATACAGTCTGATGTTACACTGAGCGGTTCTTGTTTCAGTGCTTCATTTGTGTTGGTTTTGCCTTTACAACTAGGTCATACCTGTTGCCATTGTGAGGCAGCTGAGTCATGGCAGCCCCCTGTGTGTCAGAGTAGAACTTGATTCATGGGTTCTCAGTGGCTCATTTCTCAGAAGTACATTGCCAGGCCTGTCTTCTGAGGAAGCTCTGGGTGGATGTGACCCTCCAACTTTTTTTAGCAGGCAACTGTGTTAACCATTTTGTACCACCCAGGGACTCCAAACTCCTTAAAATGCTGAGTTACATTTCCTAGAAAGTAGTTTAAGGGAGTGGAGAAAACATCACCACAGATCATTATGGTCCTGGCTGTGGTGTGGGATCTTAGGGGCAGAATCATTATCCCCTGAAAGGCCTCTGTTTCTTCATTTGTAAAACTAGAAGGCTAGATAGTCTTTTTGTGTGTGTGTGTGATTTGGGTGAAAATTTACAGAGCAAATTCACTTTCCATACAGCAGTTCACATACACTTTCTCTCATGACATTTACCACAATTCACCACAATGCAACAGCTCCCCTCCCACTTCCTCCCCACAGTCACCTCTTCCCTGTGTCCATCCCTCCATGCACCCCTGCCCCCTGAGCTGTCTCCCTGTGCATAAACAGCCCTTCTTTTTCCCATGATTTTTCTCTCCAAGGAGTGTATTTACCTCAGGTAAATGTTCAACTCCTATGCCTGTCTTTTGCTTGGCTGGAAGCCACAGGTATGGGTTCAATTCCAGACCTGAAGGGCAGTTAGGGGCCATAGTCTCAGTGGTTCCACCAGGCTCTATCAGATCAGCAAACCTGGTCCCCCTCCTTTTTTTTTTTTTGCAAATGCTTTTGAGTTTTGTTTTACATTGTTCTCCCTCTCTATCTAGGATCTCCTACATAGATCCCCCTCCGAGTGGTTGACTTTGGTAGCTGGGCACTATCTGGTTAGAAGGCTAGATATTCTTTCAGGGGTGCTGTCCAGTGCTAACCCCTGGATCCTGCCCTTTTGGCCTGGCACTTATCCCTCCAGTGCCCAAGAGGGTTCCATCCCCCACATCTGCTGAGTAAGTTAATTCATTCACCTCATAGTCTAGGCCAGTTCACCTCTCAGGTAAATGCTGGAGCTGTGAGAACTAGGGGCAGCATTACTGGAACAGGTGTGGGGCAGGCCTCTGCAGCCTCTGGCATTACCTCAGGCTCCGATCTAGAGGATCCAGGTCAGAGGACCACCTTGGGCTCTCTGAGTCTCATTTCAGTTTGCTCTGCACAGTTCTGTATCTGGGTGGTGCTTTTATCCTTGGCATGTGGTCAGATTCTGATTGCACCCCACTGTCCAGGGCTTGGAAAGAGGGATAACGCTGGGATGTGTGCTCCCATATGGGCCACGCTGCCTGCCTGTCTCTCCTGAGCAGAGTCTGATTTCTCCCGGCTCTGCTCTCCAAGTCCATTTCCTCCTGTTGCACTAGCTACAGTGTGTTGGGTTTTTTTAAAATGCTTTGAATCCTTTATCAGGATCCCAGCAGGGGCAGAGGTAGTGGGGCCAGTTTGGTTTGTATTGTTTGCATCTTAGATCTATGAGTTTCTTGAAGGCCAGGAGTGGCTTGTTTTCTGTTTGGGGAGCTTGTTGGTGTTTTTTATGTTTGTGTCCCCAAGCTTTTCCCCAGCTCTGCCCTGGTTTCCCTTTAAGATCTTTGTTTCTCTCTGGTTAGATGTGTGCTCTTTTCCTTTGCTTCTCTTCCTCGTTGTTCCATTGTCAGCTAGACCTCAAGGACTGTAAAGATCGTGGTGAATAAAGAGCTTGGCAAAAGGAGCCCAGAAAAAAAAGTAGTGGATCTCCAAAGATCCCTCTGGCTGTCAAATCTGTGATTTTAAGGATGGTGGGTTGATTTAGGGGTCCTTTTAAGGAGTTCTGGTGGCACTGTGAGAAGGCATTTGGCTGCTAACCAAAAAAAGGTCAATGGTTCAAACCCATCAGCTGCTCCACAGGAGAAAGATGAGGCAGTCTGCAGTGAGAGGGAAGGAGGAATATTATTATAGTGTCTAGAACATGCGTGGCAGTACACAAATCTGTGGATCCCTGAGTTCTTTGTAGGAGACTGATTGGGTAAGGAGCTATTCAGAGAAGACATGCCAAGAAGTAGGAATTTGACTCGAAGAGGACAGGGCTGCAAAAGAGAGCAACTCAGTCTAGTTGTGTCTTTGGTACATGTTAGGTTCTAAATCATTGAAAACCAAGCATATAGTCAAAATTACCCTTAACAATACCTTAGGGAAGGCACATTGCTAGAAACTGACATATTCAGTTCAGCATGACCATTTTTATCCTTCCAGAGTTGAAAGTATTTGCTGTTTTGTAATTTGAGTCCCATCAGATATACTTGGCTTAGGTTTAAGGAATCCCTGGGTGGCACAAATGTTAAGCACTTCCTTGTCTAGTAACCAAAAAAGTTGATGATTTGAATCCACAGAAGGCACCTTGGAAGAAAGTCCTGGCAATTTACTTCTGAAGGATCACAGCCATTGAAAACCATGTGGGGCGCAGTTTGTACTCAGCCACTCATGGAGTTGCCAGAGTCAGTGTCGGCTCAATAGCCAAACTGGTTTGGTTTTCAGTTTGACGTAGGTGTCATGTTGTATAAAAAGTGTGTCTTTTAAACACCACAATCTCACCCAGAAGAAAGATACTGATATGACAGACAAGTATATTTTTGCTTTGTTTAAAGATTCCCTCCTTTTTACTTTTGCCTCATTTCCACAGTTGTATTTGTGTGTGTTGTATGAGCTAATCACTCCACCTTTGCACTTTCTCACTATTCAGCTGCTGAAGAATTAGTAGACTCCTTGGCAAAGAACAATTCTGATATCTCTGACTAACTTAATGTTAAACTTGTATTAAACTCAAGTGTCTACGTTTTCTCTGTTTTGTCAACAGGTTGCTAGTGGGAGCCCCTCAGGCCAAAGCTCTTCCTCTGCAGAGGGCCAACCGGACGGGGGGCTTGTACAGCTGTGACATCACCTCCCAGGGGCCATGCACGCGGATTCAATTTGATAATGATGGTGCGTTCTTCTGATCTCAGCGTTCACTTGGCCCACTCTCCTGTTCCCTGCTTGCCCTTCCATGTGAGGAGAAAGTGGGTACAAACATTTATTCCTGGAGAGAGGACCTCTTTTGATCACAACAGCATTGACTGGTTTTTGTCTACTAGTTTACTCTGAAAGGAGCCTGGTGGTACAGTGGTTAAGTGCTCAGCTGCTAACTGAAAGGTCGGCAGTTCCAACCCAACAGCTGCTCCATAGGAGAAAGATGTGGCAGTCTGATTCCATAAAGACTGTAGCCTTGAAAACCCTATGAGGCAGTTTTGCTCTGTCCTATAGGGTCTCTATGAGTTGGAATCAATTTAATGGCAACAAGTTTTTGTTTTTAGTTTGCCCTGGAAACATTTACTTTCTAAAACACACTGAGATGCATAGCAATGCTATGCTTTTCCTACTCCTGTTTTCTAAAATAAAATGGTGTATTGATGTTGCCACCTAGTGATGTATTGAAATGCTACAGGAAGCTGTGGATTAAAAAACTGAATTCATAGCAGGGAAGGAAGTTGAGTGTCCCTATCCTGTACTCAGCAGCCAAAAGTTGTCATCTGTTCAAGTAGTTGGGAGAAAGATTGCTCAAATGTCAATATGATCAATATGGATACAATTTTCCCTATTATCACCATGGAAACGTGCTTTATGAGAACTCTAGGTAGTTGGAGGATGCCGTACCATGGGTTCTATTAACATCTAGTTTGTCCAGTTTCCTGTCAGTTTGGCCAAATAATACCTGTTCCGAGAAGCTGCAAGCCAAATTTTCACTTGCTTGGTCTAAGTAGATTTGTTGATTCATGTTTTAAGTTTTTCTCTTGCTTTTTCAACTTTTAGAAATAATGCTTATTTTTTTCCTGATGAGAGAATAATACATGTTAATTGTAGGAAAGTTGTAAAATACCTGGACCTATAAAAGGGGGGGGGGGAACCTACTGGTACTCTTAGTATCTAGACGTAATCATTTTTTATTTAACGCTAGCATTTTTTTCTCCTGTCTGCTTAAGGTTGTTTCTAAAACCAAACTCACTGCCACTGAGTCAATTCCAACTCGTAGTGACCTCCATTGGGTTTCAGAGGCTGTAAATCTTTATGGAAATAGATTGCCCCATCTTCCTTCTGAGGAGCAAGTGGTGGGTTTAAACTACTGACCTTCTGGTTAGCAGCCAAGTGCCTTACCCACTATGCCACCAGAGCTCCTTTGCACCTTGGTGGTTTAGTTTTCATATTTTTAAGTTTCAAGATTGAAGATTTTGTCCTGCTTCTCATTGAGGAAAGCAAACATTCCTTCCCTTTTTAAAGAAATTTGGATACTGCTTAAGGGGCAGGTACAGGGTTAAACAGTGGGTTTAAATTAACACTGAAGCAGCATATGATGATATTTGTTGATCGTTTTAGTGGGAAATATTTGCGTTTTCTTTCTCTGGCAAACTTCTGCCTCACATGGATTCTGGCTTTCACAGGTTTTACTGTAGTTGGACTTTTAAAACTGAATCTTCCCACTGCTTTTAGGGCATATATGGGAGGGCTACCTCTTAGTCTTAGAATTTTCAAATACCTTTTTTGTGTTCAGGATTCTGGTGTCAGAGAGGATGAATCAGATTGTGGGACAAGATAGGTCGCCAGGCAGAGGTTATGCATTTTACGTAGAGAATTCTGAGAAAGATGCTTACAGATAACCACTTATCCATTTTCTTGAGAAGGGCAGTAATTTTTTTGGATTAAGTAATTGAATTTACAAAGTACAGTTTAGACCTAATTTCTTAATATATTTGTGGTTTGTTGACACATAGGCTGTTTTCAGTCACTTTGATGTGTTAACTGTTTGTAACCTGTTCCACAGCTGACCCTTCATCAGAAAGTAAGGAAGATCAGTGGATGGGTGTCACAGTCCAGAGCCAGGGCCCAGGGGGCAAAGTTGTGGTAAGTGTAAGAAACATTTTCATTTCACTAACATTTGAGTGCCTATCATGAGCCAGTACCACCAGGCTTACTGCAATGAAAAAAACAGAACTCCTGCTCATACAGAATGTGTAGTCTAGTAAACTAAATGCTTTAAAGCAGGAATTCTTGTCAGGGAGAACTTAGTCATAAACCTTTGTTGAGTAACCGTAAAACTCTCTGTGGTCTTAAAACAAAAAAAGCAAGACAAAATTAGATGTTTCTGCTCTAGGAACTACGTAGCTCTCACAGATATATTGTAATACTATGGTAATGGTCACAGAAAATAACTTCAGGTAACCCTTGTCATTTATTCTGAGCTTCTTCAGTAGGTTCTAAAGAAAAGACAGATTTTGTGAGATGGGTTGTGTAGATGGCCTAAAACAGCCAAACTCACTGCTGTGGAGTTGGACCCGACTCATAGTGATCCTTCCTTGGGTTTCTGAGGTGGTATCACTATAGAAGTAGATTGCTCAACCTTCCTTCCGAGGAGTGGCTGGTGGGTTTGAAGTGCCAGCCTTCTGGTTAGCAGTCAAATGCCTTAGGCACTACGCCACCAGAGCTCCTGTAGATGGCCTAGTTATAACAAATTTATATCAAATTTTAAGACAAATAACTATTTTACTGAACACTGACACTTAAGGAACACATGGGAAAATGATTTGGATATTGTGAAGAATTTCCATCCTTCTTGTATGGATGGTACCCATGAATACCTGGGAAAAATTATAGAGATTATTATACCACTTCTAGCAGTATAATTCTCTCTGCATTTTATAATAAAAATTTTTAGGGAAATAATCTCAGTTTAGAATGTAAATTAGGACTTTGACAAGGGAATAGCGTGAGTGAAAGGAAAACGTCTTTGTTTTTGCTGTGTTTGCTCAATCCCTATGAAAATAGGCCTGGGGTTTCTCTCCTCTAGACATAATTGCTTATTTTCACAAACATGCTGATGTGAAAGTTAATACATTCATTAAAAGGTAATTAAATTAAGAAAATGAAGTAAGACGGTGTTTCCCTTTGTCTATATGGCAAGTAAAGTTGTAAGTAAATTGCCTATGCATTATAGATCTGGCATTTAATATTTGGTTTACAGTGTTATTCTCTGGATGAAAACAAAACAGGTTCTAGTTTCTAGATGCTAGGTAACAGTCTCCCCTAGTTGCCTCTACCCCCCAGCGTCAGGGTTGTATCCTTTCACCATACTTATTTAGTCTGTATGCTGAGCAAATAATCTGAGAAGCTGGACTAGATGAAGAAGAGCATGGCATAAGGATTGGAGGAAGATCGTTAACAACCTGTGATATGCAGGTGACACAGCCTTGCTTGCTGAAAGTGAGGATGACTTGAAGCACTTAATGATGAAGGTCAAAGACTACGGTCCTCAGTATGGATTACACCTCAACATAAAAGAAAAATCCTTACAACCAGACCAATAAGCAGCATCACAATTATAGTAGTTAAGTTGTGTGTCATCTTGGCTGGACCCTGGCTTTGAGTGACTGGGCAGCTAGATGCAGTTATTCCCCACGATGAGCTTGTAATCCCCCTGGTGGGAGCTGCATTTGGGGTGTGGCCTGCTAGTGGTATGTATGGAGAAGCTTTGAAAAAGGTCTCTAGCTTTTGGCATATTTGGATCGCGCATTTGCCCGAGTCTTCATCTCCACTTCCTTGACTTGAGCTAGCAGCCTGCCATGTTGGTTGCTAATCTTGGGACTGTGCCATTTTACCTGCCGACCTTGGGTTCATCAGCCTGTAGCTGCCTGAGTTAGGAGATGCCTCTAGCTCCAGTGGGCCTGGAATAAGAGGCAGAGCTGAAGCTCAAGGTCAAGGGGTCTTTACCCAGCCCCTGTAGCTGGCACTCGGAATTTAGACGTCTAGCCTTCTAAACTATAAGAGAATAAATTTCTGTTTGTTAATCCATCCGTTTGTGGTATTTCTGTTATAGCAACATTGGAGAACTGAAACAATGATAAACGGAGAAAAGGTTGAAGTTGTCAGGGATTTCATTTTACTTGGATCCACCATCAACACAATAGACCTTTTTAAAGTGTGAAAGAGCAAAGATGTCACACTGAAGACTAAGGTGCACCTGACCCAAGCCATAGTCTTTTCAATAGCCTCATATACGTGTCAAAGCTGCACAGTGAATAAGGGAGACCACAGAAAAATTGATGGATTTCAGTTGTTGTGTTGATGAAGAATACTGCAGATACCATGGACTGGCAGAAGAATGAATAAATTTGCCCCGGAAGAAGTGCAGCCAGAATGCTCCTTAGAAACAAGAATGGTCAGACTTTGTATCTCACACTTTGGTCGTGTTATTAGAAGGAACCAGTCCCTGGAGAAGGACATCATGCCTGGAAGAGTGGAGGGTCAGAGAAAAAGGGGAAGACCCTACGTGGAATGGATTGACACAGTAGCTGTGATAATGGTCTCAAGCATAACAACAATTGTGAGGCTGGCACAGAATTGGGCAATGTTTCGTTCTGTTGTATACAGGGTCACTATGAGTCGGGACCAACTCGATGGCATCTAACAAGAAGTAACAGTCTCCTTAGGGTCACTTTGGGAAAGAGTTGCTGATTTGGGATCCAGTCCCAAGATGCACGTTGAATCATTGGCGTTCCTGGGTGGGGACAGTTCACATGCTTAGCTGCTAACCAAAAGGTTTGAGTCCTTTCAGAGGCACCACAGCAAAAAGGCCTGGCTGTCGACTTCCTAAATATCAGCCACTGAAAACCTTATGGAGCACAGCTCTACTCTGACACATGTGAGTCTGGTCACTGTGAGTTGGAATGGATTTGATGCAACTGTTTTTTTGTTTTACTTTAGTATTAGTCTCATTGTTATTGACAATGTTATTGATTTTTAATTTTAAAAAGCAAGGTTTACAGATGCAAATGAGCTGCTTTATTCCATGTGTTTGCAGACATGTGCTCACCGATATGAAAAGAGGCAGCATGTTAATATGAAACAAGAATCCCGAGACATCTTGGGGAGGTGTTACGTCCTGAGTCAGAATCTCAGGATTGAAGATGATATGGATGGAGGACACTGGAGTTTTTGTGATGGTCGTTTGAGAGGCCATGAAAAATTTGGTTCTTGCCAGCAAGGAGTAGCAGCTACTTTCACTAAAGATTTTCATTACATTGTATTTGGAGCCCCGGGTACTTACAACTGGAAAGGTATGACATTTTTATTTATAGAAACAGAGATTAGAATATTTATATAACTTCTATAAAATATACCACGGTTTAGAATACTTTAAGTTAAAATGTCTCACAAGATGTTTGTTATAGAAGTGGGGTAGGGTAAATTGAGTTCTCTAAATCATGATTTTTTAAAAACAAATATTGGTGAAAATATTTTTATGTTTGTTTGTTGAGAGATTTTTCTGTTTTTTTATCCCCCTACTGGTAATTTTCATTCATATAAGTAGTTAACACCCCACCCCATTAAACCAAACCAAACCAAACACACTGCCGTGGAGTCGGATCTGACTCATAGCAACACTTCCTTGGGTTTCCACTATGGAAGTAGATTGCCTGATTTTCCTCCCGAGGAGTGGCTGGTGGCTTTGAACCGCCAGTCTTCTGGTTAGCAGTCAAGTGCCTTAGGCACTACACTACCAGAGCCCCACCCCATAGGAATATAATAAACACGAGGAGTTTTTGCTGTTCTTTTATTTGCCTGTCTCATGAAGTTAGAGGTTTTAGTTTTAAGTTTTGAACACTGAAGAATCGAGTGCTGGTGTGTACAAATAAAGGAGGCTTGGTGGTGCAGTGGTTAAAACACTCAGCTGCTAACTAGAAGGGCAGCAGTTTGAACCCACAGCAGTTCTGTGGGGGAAAGATGTAAAGATTACAGCCTTGGAAACTCTGTGGGGCAGTTCTGTCCTGTCCTTACAGGGTTATTGTGAGTCGGAATCAATTGGGCCTCCGGAATCAATTGGGCCTCCGTGAGTTTGGTTTTGATGTACAAGTAACACTGTATGATCACAGATGTTTCTTTTGTTGTACTTTTATCTTAGAAGGCTATGCTTTGCTAATAAATGCAGAAAGGCAGATGGTTAGACAAATTAGAGACTTTTGAGACAATTTCAGATAACTTGAGGAAAAGTTACTTACTGCTTTTGCTTTGTTATTACTATGATGTGGGTGAAAGGAAACACTGCTGGTCGGGAGGAAATGGTCCACTTTTTTGACTGGATGAATCTGGTCGTTTCCTGTTATGAAAGTTTAACTTCTGAAGAAATCAGGCAAGTATAGAAAGCCATTGTATCATAAAGGATGATTTTCCTAACTCTTAATCCATGATGAGGGGAAAGAATCTGATTTGAACATAAAAAAAAAAGATTAGGTGCTATGCCACCAGAGCTTCTGATTTGAACATAAGAACTTTGAAGTATATATTAAAATAAATCATGTTTTAGCATTTTCATTAGTGAGGAAAAACTTAGAAAAATTTTCCTTTTCCATTAAAAAAAATTTCAAGTTTTAATTCCTATTAGACATGACTCTTGGGTACAACTTTCTCTGCTGTCAGCTGTGTATGGTACCTGGGCGTGAGAAATTGCCCTTTGCCCTCTCACACCAACAGAAGCTTTCACGTGAGGGTATGAAGTGATTCTCACCTAACTGAAGCAACAGGTTGAATTTAGAAATATTTTGTATTTTAGCAAGTATAAATGCTATATATAGTAAAACAAAACAAAAATACCCACCAACTAGTACCTTTCAATCTATGGAAATATATCTTAACTGTTTTATAAACCCTGACCTAAAATAGTATCATTTTTTAAAAGTTGTAATTTGGGCTTACTCTATGATATCTGTCTTTTTAATGAGATAATTGCAAGCATTTTGAAAACATCAAATCTTGGTTCCAGTGATTTAAAGAAACAATCAAAATGTTAATTTCCCTTTTGCACTGCAGCAAAGCAGCTAAATTGATTTTGGATTATAGAGCATGTAAAATATCATATGTGTTAAGTTCATGTCAATTTAAGGAATTGATTTTTGTAGGTTTTGTTAACCAAGTAAACATATTCCATTTTCCATCTGCTTTCTTGCCATTATAGAGATAGTTCATGAAAAACCATGGAACACTTTTTTTGTTATTACTACAACAAATTTATTTGTAAAAACTTATATTAACATTATTTTAATTTTAACAGCCTTAAAAATCATCTCTTTCTGACTTTTCTCCTTTGAACTTTTCTTCCTGTGCTCAGTGGTAACATGGGGGATGTATATTAGGAACCATTTGTTTTATTTTGTTTCATTTTCATTTTTTCTTTTTCTTTTTTTTTTTTTTTAACCATTTCACTCCTTTAGGGATTGTTCGTGTAGAGCAAAAGAATGACACTTTTTTTGACATGAACATCTTTGAGGATGGGCCTTATGAAGTTGGTGGAGAGACTAACCGTGACGAAAGTCTAGTTCCTGTTCCTGCTAACAGTTATTTAGGTAGGAGTGAGTGGAAATGGCACTCGTACTTTGTGGACGCTGCTGTGTGATACTCCTCTCCCAGGGCCCAGGACCCTGGGCTTCTCAAGTTAAGAACACGCCAGGTGGAGCCAGGTACCCCAGCTGCATTTGCAAGCATTTGATTTAAACCTTGCTGATGCTGAGGTAACCTGACTGGTGTTTAGAATTGATCCCTTTTGACCTGGAATGCCCTCAAGGTGTGGAGAAAGTGGAGAAACCTATTGTCTCCTAAAATTGTCCATCCTCCAGCTTTGAAGCCCATATCCTGAGTTAACTGCAGCCTCTGTAACCTGAAATGGGCCATTTGTGCAGCTATGATAGAATCATGGATGTTTGCAGTACACCGAGCCGCCTTCCATCTCTAAAATGCCTTTTTTCTAGAGATTCTCTTAAGAGCTATGTTCATAAAGTAACAAAGTGGCAGTTCAAGACCTCTGGGTCCCTATTCTGTGATTACTGATCTCCGAAGATTGGCCTTGCTTCTGGATTGGGGCCCCCATGTCACAGAGCCCCTGGTGGGTGCCATGGGGGCTTTCCCGCTAAGGCAGCACAGGACTGCTAAAGCAGCTTTGAGGACAGCCAGACTGTGTCTAAGTGCCACTTCTTTAACTCCTAAGGCTTGTTGGCATTACTAATGGGTGTCCTAAATTATTCATGTGCATTATGATAATTACAAAAAGGCTTTTAAAAGCTTTAATTCTTGGTGTGAGTTGACATAAAGAATAATTACTATGCATTTCTTAGGAAAAAAAAAATGTAAAAAATCCTAAACCTAAATAGTAACCTATTTTAAAAAAAATCATGAGAAAAGTACCCATGTGCTTAGAGATATTACTGGAACTATGGAAGATGAAAAAAGGAAGAAACATAGATATGAATTATTCTAAACAATGTTTTAGTAAACATACTCTGAAAAAATTATTCTGATTGTATAAATATGTATGAACTATTTTGTTAATTTAAAAAGCATTTTCAGAGTCCTACCCTCCACTTGAAAAAAAATAAAACTTGGTGTAAGATATGGAAGTTGTTGTTGTTATGTGCCATCGAGTTGGCCCTGACTCATAGCGACCCCTACTTGGGTTTCTGAGGCAGTATCACTACAGAAGTAGATTGCCCAGCCTTCCTTCCAAGGAGTGGCTGGTGGGTTTGAACCACCGGCTTTCTGGTTAGCAGTCAAGTGCCTTAGGTGCTGAGCTACCAGAGCTCCTAAGATATGGAAGAGGAAGAAAAAAAAGATACTAATTTTATTATGCACCGAATGTGTGCTACAAGTCAGGTACTCCATGCACTACTTTACATACCCTATCTCATTTCATCTTCCCAGCAATATCAGAGGTATTATTGTCCTTGTTTTGCTCATGAGAACAATGTTACCTTAGAATAATTTCCTCGTCCAAGGTTACAAAATTAATAATCTCCCAGGCAAGGAAAGAAATACTTGTGAAAATGACAGAAATAGGAAGAGAAGCAGCTGGGTGTGTGAGTGGGATGTTTGCAGCCTTGCAGGGCAGGAAGGGAACCCGGGGGTGAGTGATTTGCAGCTCCATTATTAAAAAAGGTTTTTGAAGGTAAATATTATTAACACACCAATTGAATATATTAATTGAATATATAGACATCCTTTCTTGCTTGTAAATACATTATTTAGAGACTATGATTTTTTAAAAAAGAGTATTTAATTTTAAGTGCTCTGATCAAGAAACCAACACTTTGCTCCTCAAGATAGATGCTCAGAGATTTTATAACCATAGTTGCTGGTAGAACATTTAAACATTTTTATGAAACACAGTTGCCACTGTTAGAATGAACTTTCTTAAAAGTGGATACCTGGAGAAAAAAAAAATTCAAGCTCTCATTGTTACGTTTTGATTGTCTATGCTGTGTGAAGTGTCATTCCAGCAGATCAGTGGGTTTTAGGGATTAAATGATCTGCTTGAGGTTTTCGGAAGCGGGCAAAGGTTGCAGCTTGCTAGTGCAGCGGTGGCCTCATCATTTGGCAAGAACTGTGGCAGCCGTCCTACCTCTTACCAAGCTTAATTATTTTTTTCTTCCATTTCTTCCATCCCATGCACGTGTACAGGCCTGCTGTTTTTGACCAGCATTTCCTATACAGAGCCCGATCAGTTTGTTTATAAAACACAGCCTCCCAGGGAGAAGCCTGACACATCCCCTGATGTGATGATGAATAGCTACCTAGGTTTGTGACCTCTGAGATGACAAATAAATTGTCTTGGTCATGGTCATTTAAAAAAAAAAAAAAAAGTTTGATCCATACAGAGCATAAATCTTTTTATTTTCTATCTCATTTCAAGTGAAGCATACACAAAAAGCATGCCGTGGTTGAAGCTTTGCTGCCGGATGGTTTTCAGAGCGCAATTGGATTATATCACCCTATTCTAAACTTGTAGCTTGTCATATTTTCAACTCACTTCACAATTTGAGAACTGCAACAGTAGTGGTGATGCTGTTCATAAATAAAGCCCAATAAAAGCTGTGAGCACTTGCCTCACCTTATATAAAAAGATGTACATGATTTGAATGGCCACTTACATTTGTTCTCTGCCAGATCTCAGTATTTGTCATCTGAATCCTGATGCTTTATAATTAGTCATACTAATGGTTGTTTTTTTTAACCCTCCTGAACAGGATTGTAACTGAAATCAGTGACAACTTACTCACCTCTATTGTTACACTAGGTTCTCAAATACTATATATCATCAATCATGGTTTCGTTTGCATGTTTGTGTCTGAGAAGAGTTGGTCCAAAATAATAAATGCTATCTATGGTATATTAATGATAATTAGCATTTGATCTTGCCCACTTACCCAAGGAGATCAACAAATAAGGAAGCTTTCCGTGAATCTAATGCTAATCATTATATTAGAGCAGGCCCCTATAACATGAAGTCAGTTGCACTACAAGTCAAGTATTGTTCTCTCTGTAGGTAACTTTCCTACAATAATATCTAGCTGGATTTCCTTTTACTGCAGTTTTAAGATTAAAATGGGGTTCAAATTAATTCTTAGTACACATGAATGTTTTATGATTCGAGTTACACATATGCTAAATAGCATAGATGCTTTTCTTTTAATTCTTAATATCCATAGAAAGCAGTAAAATAGCCCTACTGTTTTGTACTTGTGTCAGATCTCTTAGTTCTATAACTCATTCATATTATAAATACGATAGCTGGTGGGAGGGCCCTGGGAGAGGGGTGGGAAGCAAGAGGAAAAGATGATAGAGTTATCAACGTCAGATAGCTCCTGAAATACAGGACTAATGTGTATTTCGTTTTTCTAGGCTTTTCTTTGGACTCAGGGAAAGGTATTGTTTCTAAAGATGATATTACGTTTGTATCTGGTGCTCCAAGAGCCAATCACAGTGGAGCTGTGGTTTTGCTAAAAAGAGACCTGAAGTCTACACATCTTCTCCCTGAGTACATATTTGATGGGGAAGGTCTGGCCTCTTCATTTGGCTATGATGTGGCAGTGGTGGACCTCAACAAAGATGGGTAAGAGCGTCTTAGGTTGTTTTATACAGTAAGTCATTGCTGCTTTGACTGGGCTCTAGATCTTGAGAAGAGCCTTCTCTTCAGGTTAGTTGATTCAAAGGGTTATTTTGCTGCTAGATTTTTATAATGTCATCGTAAGATGTAGAATGACATTTTCAATGTTCAGATTTTACTCATGTCTTGGGAGTATGGGTCCATGATAATTAAAATATGAAAAATTAAATTAACCCTACATAATGACTCCTACATGGTTCTGTTAATTGGTTTCTTAATGGAATATCTGAGCATCTAGAATGTCCTGTTGAAAGTAGGAATGGGTGACAGGATCAGTGCATAGATCTGTGCTATTCATGATAGGGTCTTTTCCTAGAAGTCCTACTGCACTATGATTCTAATTTAGGAAACTAGATTTGAGTTCTTAGCCTCAATATTTTTCTTTTGGCATTTATTACAGGCTACTATGAATTTTTGTTATTTGGTGTTTTTAGCTTTTAACTGATAAAACGTAAGTCCTATATTTGAAGTCCTTTCCATCACATCTCTTTATATCTTTAGTATCTGGTTTGGTACTATTATTCCTAAGCTTGCTTATATTTTAGCTGGTGGTTCACAGTTTTTCCCCCTAATTACATTTTAAGGTGGCAAGATATAGTTATTGGAGCTCCACAGTATTTTGATCGAGATGGAGAAGTTGGAGGTGCTGTGTATGTCTACATTAACCAGCAAGGCAAATGGAACAATGTCAAGCCAATTCGTCTTAATGGAACCAAAGATTCTATGTTTGGCATTGCAGTAAAAAATATTGGCGATATTAATCAAGATGGCTACCCAGGTAGATAACAGATTATGAAATGATGATGATTTATAGATGCATGACAACAGCTACAAATGCAACACACTGCCATGGAGTCAGACCCGACTCATAGCAACCCCTCCTTGGGTTTCTGAGGCAGTATCACTACAGATGTAGATTGCCCACCCTTCCTTCTGGTGGGTGGTGGGTTTGAACTGCAGACCTCTGGTTAGCAGTCAAATGTCTTAGGCACAATGCCACTAGAGCGCCCATAGATGCATTATTTGGTTTAAATTAATGAGTACTTATGGCATCTTATTTAAAACATTTTACTGGGGTGTTTTAAAAATGTAATGTTTGTCAAATGTAATATTGCCTACAGATATTGCTATTGGAGCTCCCTATGATGATATGGGAAAGGTTTTTATCTATCATGGGTCCCCGAATGGAATAAATACCAAACCAACACAGGTAACCCAATAACCTTGATTTCTACAATAAAGATCTCAGCTTTTTGCTTTGTAATAGAGTATTTGGGTTTAAGTGGATTGTCTTACTAATCATGTTTTACTCAGATATCTACAATAGTATGGATTTTTTATTATTTTAACATATTTTTAGAGGATAACTTGGATATAGATATAAATACAGTGGCTTACTTATTTTAATGATAAAATTTCTCAGTTAAGTTAGAAACCAAAGTAATCCAAGGTCAAAAAAAAAAAAAAAAAAAAACTGTTCTATCCTGACAGCATAAAGAGATGGAAATATGATATATTCTTACTTTAACAGCATACTCAATAGAGATGAAACTAGGCAAGTGAAATAGGTGATGATCATTACATGAAAAACTCAGTACCAAAAATTAAAAATTATTTTTGAGAAAATGAAGACTTTTATAGCTTAGATGAGAAAGTTTGGTTTGAAATAGCCTAATTGACTTAATATACTATGCCACTTCTTTAAAAATTGGCTTTTATCCTTTAAGATACTATGTAAATCAGATGACTTGTATGAAATAAAATATATGAAATGTTGTGTCATATATGTATATACGTATTTATAAGTTTATTCTAATTTATTTGTAAGTGAACTCTTAAACTTGACTTCCAAAGAAACTTGTGTGTCTTTTTCAAAGCATGAATAAGAAATTCATGTTGGTGGCTGAGTGCCCTTTCTGATGCTCTGTTCATTTCAGGTTCTCGAGGGTAAATCACCTTATTTTGGATACTCAATTGCTGGAAATATGGACCTTGATAGAAATTCCTACCCTGATGTTGCTGTAGGTTCCCTCTCAGATTCAGTAACTGTTTTTAGGTATGTGATGTGTAGCTTTATTGTTCAATAGTCAGGTTAAACTGAAATTTTTACATTTTAGATTGAAATTACTGCAGTGTAATGCATATGCTTCAAAGGTGAAGACACGTGTGATTTTCTAAGGTTTTTTAATTTGAGGATGGTGTAAACAACTTAATAAAAACCTATTTTGGAAAATCTTGCTAAATTTGAACTAATTGAGGGATAGGTCAGAATTAGTGAAAATTTTTATGTCAGAAATATAATTTTAAAACTTTTATTTTGATAAGAACAAAACATGTTTACATATAAAATTTGACAGTACAGAGAACAGAAAAATAAAATAAAAATCCTGTATAATTGATCATTTATTATTAAACTCCAAAATTGTGGTTTATATTCTTCTAGTCTTAAATGAATGTACACATGTGCATTTTTTAAAAGTGAGATCATAATGTACATTGGCTTATATCCTGCTTTTTTTAGTTTATAATGCATAGTGGGCTTTTTTTTTTTTTTTTGCCCTTTGCCCTCTCACACCAATAGAACCTTTCACATGATTGAGTACTTTTCTAAATGAAGTTAACTGATATCACTCAGGCATCACATCACTGTATCACGGTTTATTTAGTCAACTTCTGTTACTGGACATTCATGTTGTTTTCAGATATTTTTGTTCATATTTGTTGTTTTTGCCTCAATGCACAAAGCTGTGGTAAACATCTTTACTTGGGTTTGTGTCTTTGATTATTTCCTTAATGATGAATTCCTAAAAATGAAGTTGCTGAGTTGAAGGATGTATGTGTTTTAAGACTTTTGATTCCAGAAAGGCTACAGCAGTTACAGTCCCATCAGCTGTGCTTGGGACCCCTTAACCCAGTGATGTCATTGCTGTTGGGAATCACCAGTAACAATTTTTTTTAAAAGTAGCACATTTTTGTTAAAAATACAGAATTGTAGAAAGAAAGTACAAGTTCTCCAATATTCCAGTTTTTCACAAAACAGTTTTTAAAGAGTTTTCAGTATTTCTGTACTTTTTGAGTATCATCAAACCTACCTACCCATTGCCATTGAGTCCATTCCAACTCATAACGACGCTATAGGACAGAGCAGAACTGCCCCTTAGGGTTCCCAAGGCTGTCATCTTTTCAGAATCAGACTGCCACATCTTTCTCCTGTGGAGTCTTTAGTGGGTTCAAACCACTGACCTTTTCATTAGCAGCCAAGCACTTAACCACTATGCTGTGAGGGGCCATGCTATAACTACTGGTCTCTAATCTGGTCTTTAAAAATTTAATCTTTTCTAGGTATCTCTCCATGTCAGTTCAGATACACAAATGTTCTTTTTAATAGCATATATTCTCTTAATTAATCAATTGATGGATATTTAGATTGTCTAATTTTAGCTATTATAAATTATATACTATAGTATATTACATAGTATATATGTAATAGTTTTTTCCTTTAAGAAAAATGCCTAGAAATAAAAATTTGTATTTTTTTTTTAAATAACTATTTGGCTTTATAGTCATTTTTTTATTTTTAAGTAATTTCTTTAAAGAAATGGACAATAATGTATGGTGAAACTCTCAGTGACCAAGGCTGTGGGCCATGTGTGCCCTTGGTGCCACCATCTTAGACTTCCAGAAGGGTGCTAGGAATTAAAGAAACCATGATATCTAAAGTACAATCCCAAACAAAAATTGTGAGCATCAGGAACCAATCCCAGGACCCTTTTGAAGAGAATACTGTATGGTACAATGAAAGTATACTATGTGAAAGAAAAATCACTTTCTGGTTAAATGGCAAGATCTAGATGAGCCATTTCATGTAAAAACTGAAAACTACAGGAGAAGCTACAGGTGGTAAAAGTAAGAGAAATGAAAGGAAGTGAAGAAGAGTGTATGTATCCTTGTGTGAAGTATTAGGTCAAAGGGAGAAGGCAAAAAGGAAGTCCAATTAACCAAATAAATTAATACGTATACATGATTTAGAAAGGAAAGAGCTCAGGGAAATGTTGATAGTCAGTGTGGTTTGTGTATCTGTCTTGGGGGTATTTATCCAGTTTGGGGAGCCTGGTGGCCTTCTGAGCCATCACACTGGGGAGGGGGTGTGTTACTGTGTGCCTCCTGGGTTAAAGCATTCAATCCTTCTACCTGGTGGTTCTCAAATGCTGCCTTTATGTGTGTGTTTCTCTCTGTTAATATATGTATTAACCATAAAATAATTCAATGTTTTGAAAATGTAGAAGACTATGTGATGTTCAGGCATTTGAGCCAAGTTTCCATCCAAAAGCAGTTCTGGTTCTAATTGGAGGAAGAACTGTCAAATATCAAGAAAAGTTGAGTGCCTAAATCAAAATTTGGTTACAAAGTTTTTCACAATAGATAACCCAACTTAAAAAAAAAACAGTTAAGTTAAATGTAACTCATGGCAACACCTTATGTATCAGAGTAGAACTGTCACCTACAGGGTTTTCAATGGCTGGCTTTTCAGGAGCAGATCACCAGGTTTTTCTTCCGAGGAGCTTCTAGGGGGATGTGAACTTCCAGCCCTTTGGTTAGCAGCCAAGCACGTTAACCATTTGCACCATTCAGGGACTGCGACCTAACTTTAGTCAGTTCAATATTTGCTTCTGTCTGTGTGTAATTGACATTTTAATAGCCTTATTCTAATGTCCTGGTAAATAGGTTGGCAGTGAGTGCTGTAAACTTCTTTCTTTGTTCATAGTATAAAAGTGAATTTCAGAATCCTAGAACTCAATATAAAAAGGGGGAACCACTTCTGTTATTTTAAAAATGATGAAACTGAGGCCCAGGTTTGTTAGATGACTTGCTGAGTTCGAAGGCTGCATCCCAAGAGACATGGTACCCAAATCTTGCCAACTTTAGTCCTGAGAGTTTTCCTTACTATATATAAATCACACTTACACATCAGAATGGTTAGTAAATAAAGAAATAAAGACCAATTAAATGTGAAACAGCTGAGCCAGTCAAATTTACTTCATAGTCCTGTGTTGAAAGACAAGTTTTCATGATTCATTTATACTTTTGTTTCAGAATAGTATATTTATGTGTTTTATGCTTAAAAAACAGATATAAAAATAAATTGTAGGCAGAAATACGTATTAAAATCTTTCCTTTTAAAATTTTTGCCACACTAGCACACTAAAACTGAAATGTAAAATACTATAACATCTGTGACATACTTGTTTTAAAATATTACTAAATGTTTTCCCTTTAATTAGGGTCTCAAAACCTAAAAGTTAAGAATGTATCTAAATGCTGAACAGAATTCCAGATTCTCATGGAATCCAGACTTACTGGAGCCATGCAAGCTGGATGAACCCCCTGAAACTATTGCCCTGAGATAGATAATCTTTAAATCTTAAACCAAAAATATTCCCTGAAGCTTCTTAAAGCCAAACAATAGTTGAGCTTAACTAGGAAAGAATGTCTGCCTTGAGCATTATGTTCTTTTTAGATCTATCTATAGGATCAGATTGATAGCTGCAACTCAGAGTAATAGGTAAGAACCTTAGGGAGCAGTGAGTTTATGTTTAATGGGAAAGGAACAACTCAGAAATGAGAATGAGAATGGTTGCACAACTTGAAGAAGGTAATCAATGTAACTGAATTATGCATGTAGAATTGGAGAATGTTTTCCTGTGTGTATTCTCAACAACAACAACAACAAAATAAAATTATATAAAAAATGTAATTAGTATTTTAGAAACTAACAGCTGGCTGATATTAAATAAAAAATAGAGAGGTAAACAGTTGAGATGAAGGGAAATACAGGAACAGCATCAGGGAATCTGGGCAGTGTTTACCTTTGTAGTGAGTCTCAGCTTTATCTTGAATAAACTTAAGTTTTTTCACTCATGCTGTCTGTAGCTTACCAGTTGATTCCAGAGGTTTGAGCTAGCTCTTTGGGACATGGTAGGCATTTTCCTATAGAAACACTGTCCCTTAGAATGGTTGATTGGGTTTACTGCAAACCTACCAGAGTCAATCTAATGGAAACCATGCAATAATGAAACCATACAGCCTATTCTGAGTTCTGGCTGGGAACTGTTGGGATGTGAGAGGTGAGGCAGTACCTCCCCATCCCACCCCATCCTCCAGTCTGTTGCACACTGGCATTTTTTATGCCTGTGCCATAGGTTGGCCAGTGGTGGCCTTTTTGGCTATGGAGAGTAGCAGAGGATATGAATACTAATGTGTAAAGGAGAAGAAGATTTGTTTATCTGAAGAAAGGGTAAAGATAGGGGATTCCAGCTTCTTGAGTGTTTGCAGGTTTGATTTTGCATCTCTGTGGGACTTTTATGGGAAAGGTTAAGAGGTTTAAGTTATTTTCTTTAGCATTGGAGAAAAAAAAATCACATGTACAAAGTTTTTTTTTTCTCCCCCTGTGGTTTTTAAGATCTACTTGGTAGCTAAAAAGGAGCTCTGGTACCACAGTGCCTAAGGCATCTGACTGCTAACCAGAAGGTTGGTGGTTCAAACCCACCAGCAACTCCACGAAAGCAAGACTGGGCAATCTACTTCTGTAAAGATTTACCACCTTGGAAACCGAGTGGCGGTTGCTATGAGTCAGAATTGACTCGATGGCAGTGGGTTTAGGTACCGAAAAGGAGACCTGGTAGCACAGTGGTTAAATGCTGGGCTACTAACTGAAAAGTTGATGTTTGAACCCACCATTCTCTCTGTGGGAGAAAAATGTGGCAGTCTGCTTCCATAAAGATTACTGTCTTGGAAACCCTGTGTAGGGCAGTTCTTCTCTGCCCTGTATGATTGCTGTGAGTCAGAATTGACTCCACAGCATTAGGTTTGGGTAGCTAAGGATACCATGTAGTATGTGGATTCATCTTAAATTGAAGGTAACAAAAGTCTGAGCTTGTTAAACTCTTGTCTTCAGATCCCGGCCTGTGATTAATATTCAGAAAACCATCACAGTAACACCTGACAAAATTGATCTCCACCAGAAAAGATCTTGTGGGGCACCAAGTGGGATATGGTGAGTGTTTCTGTAATTTCACACCTCTGCATTATGAAAGTCCTGTTGCCCGAGGAGCCACAGGAAAGATTAAAAGCAAGAACTGGACAAAGGGAAGAGGAATCTGCCAAGTGAATGTATAACATATTACTCATCAGTGGGCTGTGGCATTTGAGAGTTGGGGAAGCAAGTTGGGTTTTTCTACTGCACTAGTGCATCTTTTAAGAAATATGTGTTTGATTTCCATACAGCCTCAAGGTGAAGGCCTGTTTTGAATATACTGCCAAACCTACTAATTATAATCCTTCAATAGGTAAGTACCCAGAACGTTTTGTAAAATATTTTCTGTTGGCCAAGTTGAAAGTTTTGCCTAAATAACGGAAAAGTAGACCTTCAGTGTCAAAAATGGGTTCATAGAGTCTTTTTCTTATAAAATTGTCTGTGTTGTCTCTCCTTTAACCAGGAAGATACAGCACAGAGGGGAAAAATCTCTCCTTCTGGTCCCCATTTGAATTTTTCCAAGCAGATGGACAACAGAAGAAAAAGTCTTAGAAAAAGTACTCTGTTGCTACCACAACCATTTCCTCAATTTCTGTCTTTGAAAGCCAGTGTAGAAAGTTGGTTTGGTGGTTTGGTGTGGGCGGTGGTTGTGAAAGGGTGCCTATGAGACCCTGACTACAGCACAGAGTGAGTGCCAGTCGACAGGCTCTTCACTCCCCAAGAGGCCAAGCTGTGTTCTTGAGCAGACACGGGCCCCTGGTGGAAGTTGACGGTTCACCTTGAGAGTTCAGAGCTGGGGCTCTGCTTCTGGTTCCAGCTTTGATGCTGATTGACGCTACATCACAAGGCAGGCCCCTTAACGTTTGAGTTTTTATTTTCCCAACGGTTGATAAAAATGTGTCAAATAGTAATTTTTGCAAATGTTTGTGGTGGGAGCAGATGAGATGATGTGGGGAAAGCAGTTTATAATTTTAAAGTGTTACTCTGCTTCCCCTCTTTAAAATCTAAGAGGATTTTTGCCCCAAATTTTGACAGTGCTAATGATGCCCTGGAGTCCCTGGGTGGGGCATGTGGTTAATGTGCTTGGCTGCTAACCAAAGGGTTGATGGTTTAAGACCACCCAGAGGTGCCTGTGAAGAAAGACCTGGTGATCTACTTCCAATAACATCGGTCATTGAAAAGCCTACGGAGCACAGTTCTACTCTGACACACACCACCGGGTCACCATGAGTTAGAGTTGACTTGACCACAGCTGGTTAATTATGCTTGAAAAATAATGATCGTAACTAAAGTCTAGTATCAGCTGGACATATTGATTTTCCTGGTATGCTTTAGTAGCAGCCTTACCTCTTCAGAGTGAGCCCTGATCCAGTTCCAGCGTCAAGGTCAGTGCCTGAGAATTTAAAGGAAATCTTTCTCTCAATGAGAGAACAAAAGAATGACAGGATTTCTATCTTAAGTCTTAACCGCAAACCAGGCAGCTCAGTATCCCAGTGTTTTATGCCAAGGGAAGCTTTGTGCAAGGACAGGGTGGTTTTTATTGTGATTTGGGTAAAAATTTAAAAAGCAGATTCGTTTTACTCTCGGCAGTTTATATACATTTTGGTTCATGGTACTGATTACAATCTCAACAATAAATAGCTGTCCTCCTCCTCCCTGTGACTACCCTTCTCTGTGTCCTTCTTACCATTGCATTCCTGTCTGTCTAGCTTTCCCCTTAGGCAGGTGCTGCCCTTCTGATCTCTCACAGTGGACTCTTTCTGCTAAGGGGCGCATCTCCCTGGGGCAGATGTTCTACTTGTAAGCCTCCCTGTTGTTTGGCTGAGAGCTAACTCACGGAAGGAGTCCAATTCCAGGCCCAAAGGATAACCTGGGGTCATAGTCTCAGGGGTTTCACCAGTCTCTATCCAACCAGTAATTCTGGTCATTTTTGTTGTTTGAATTTTGTTGCACATTTTTCCTCCCAATCTATCTGGGATCTCCAATTTTAATCCCTTTCCAAGGGGTTGGCTTTGGTAGCCAGGCACCATCTAGTTCTTCTGGTGTGTTCTACTGTTTTTGTGTTTTCAGTTCTTACCACACTTTGAGGTAATGAGTTATTTTAAGTGCCCCAAAGTTACTGTATTTTTTCAAGTATAATACTCCCATGCATATAACGTGCGTAGTGTGCATGAGAAACTAATGGCCTGAGAGGAGATTGCAAGGCTTGCAAACCATAAAACATACATTATTTGCTTTAAAATATGGTAATAGTGTCCTATTTGCAATTGGACTCTGATATTCCACCTACAAGATGGAAATGTAATTAACTCCTGCCAGCTTCTCCTTATTATCTGAAAGGTTACTTTGTTTCCTTTATTAGAAGACATCCCTGTTAAGAACACTGTTAGATAGGTAGAAACAAGTATTGATTTGGGCGAAGAGAAGCGCAGTGTACCAACTGTGAGTGGCCAACATGGTGGCATTGAAGAAGAGGAAGACAGAGAGGTACATGGGAGGTATAGACAACAAAGATGAACATAAAGTACCATGTTGTCAGTGAAGGCAAAACATTAATATATATGGATGGATAGATGGGTGGACAGGCTGAACTATTAGGTATATCTGTGCAGCGGGCAGTGTGCCCAAAATCATATATAGAGTTGGCAGACAATGTTTCTACAAGTGTATTTGTATGTTCTGTAAAAATTCCCAGGTATATAGCAGAGCTCACAACGGGCAAGGTTGTAGTCACTTCTTGGGCACAACCAGCTATCCAGAGGGAGCGAGTAGTTGGACCTGTGGGCTTGGGACCATAGTTGCAGGGGACAGCAAGCTCAATTGGCATAACATACTACCCAAAACATTGTTCCACCTCCTACTTTGGTGAGTAGCGACTGGGATCTTAAAAGCTTGTAAGCAGCCATCTAGAAGCAATGATGGCTCTCTCCTCATCTAGAACAAAGAAGAATGAAGAAAATCAAAGACACATGGAAACAATTAGTCCAAGCAACTAGTACACCATGTGATCCTCAGCCTATATCACTGTGAGACTAGATGAAGAACCAGATGGTACTTGGCTACCACTGTCAACTGCTTGGAGAGGGATCGCTGTAGGAGATCCTGGATAGAGTGGGAGAACAAAACTCAAAATCATTTAAAAAAAAAAAAAAAAAGATCAGGTTTGCTGGTCTGTTAGAGCCTGATGGGATCACTGAGACTATGGACCCTAGCTGCCCTTCAGATCTGGAATTGAACCCACTCCTGTGGCTTCCAGCCAAACAAAAGACAGGCATATGAGCTGAACATTTACATTAGGTAGATATATTCCTTGGAGAGAACAGTCGTGGGAGAAAAGAAGGGCTGTGTATGCACAGGGAGACAGCTTGGGGGGGCAGGAGAGTATGGGAGGGAAGGACACAGGGAAGAGATAACTATGGGGAGGAAGTGGGAAGAGAGCTGTTACATTGTGGGAAATTGTAGTCAATGTCATGAGACAGTGTATGTGAGCTGCTGTATGGAAAGTGAACTTGCTCTTGCTCTGTAAACTTTCACCCAAATCACAATAAAAATAAAATAATAATAATTAAAAAAAGATGTCCTGTTAAAATCCCAGAGTTTGGCAAGTCAGTCTCTTTTTACCCAATTCACACTCCCATGTCTTGGAGCTGTCATGTGCACCCTTAGCTTTTATCAGTCTAGAGTTTGAGCTGTCCTTACAGGTGATGTCTTCACCTTGGTCTTTTTGGCTCCCTTTGTTGAGCCCTGTCCTGCAATACTGCATCTTCATTGGGGGTGGTGATCCCCTGCATGATGCGTTCTTGGGGTAAATGTGTTAGGACTTTGTGCATAGGTGGAGCCAGGGCTTTTCACTGTGCTCTTTGATATGGCGGCATTTTCTCAAGTATAGAAAGCAATTCCCTGTGTGGATTTTAATGACAAGAAAACATTGACTGTGACTCCTCAGGATCTGTCGTTCAGTAGAATTTGCATTGTTTCTACCTAATGCATTACCTTACACTTTCCCACTTGGATAACAGACTTTCACCATTCTTTGGAAATGGGCTAGGGAGATGAGGAAAAACAAGGATTCTTGGACCATCTAAGGAAAGTGAAGTGGGGAAACATTTTAATTTTACTAGTGTGACATTTTTTATATACCACTCAGTTTGAATATAGATATGAAATTCATCATAGTGTTCCTTGTTTCTTCCCAAATTAATCATTCATGTATCATAAATTATTATAAACTTTCTCCTCACTGTAATGCAGCATTTTATGCCATGTGTACTAATATCTTTATGTTATAGAACTATTCCATTAACCAGCTGTTTATTGATGGCCTGCTATGGGGAGAACTTTTTTCTCTGAAGATACTTAGTGAAAACGTATTTACATTGCCTGTGCTTCCACAGTATTGGAAAATTCTGAATCACATAACACAGAACTTGTACAAAGCTGCATAAGTTAATATATCGAAAAGATTGCCCTGGTATCTGAGAATGAATTCATTGTTTAACCAGGGTATTTTAACTCAGCAATCCCTAGATGTGGTATTCCATACATGCAGAGATTTATAATTGAGCTTTAATGAGTATTCAACTTGGCTTGCCCCTCAGAAGGTCAACAAAGGTGGCCAGCAAGGATTTTAAGATGATGTGAACTGTCTGGAGGGTTAGGGAAGGTCAGAGTGGGCTTGGTAGATGAGTGGTTTTAATGCAGCCACATCCTCCCTGACTTTTGCTGTGAGGAGCACTCAGCATGTGAGCCTTCATGTGGTTCATTGTGACGTTAGCGGGTCACCAATAAATGGATGCTCTCAGGGCTACAGAGGGCCTACAGTGGGGAACGTTCCACTTGGCAGTGGTGACATTTGAGAATTCTTGAGATAGGCTCAGAAATTACCATTGAAACCGTCACTGTTTCTGAATTTTGGTCTTACATATCTGAACAGCTGTTGTTTCAGCATAAGAATAGCGTGTGTATTTGTGTATGTGCGTATTGGTATGTGACCAGTTATTCCCACCTCCATTTCCATTCATTTATTCCTACAAATCATATATATTTGTAGTTCCTGGGAAATATTGTGGTGAACAAAACTGACATGGTTCTGTCCTTAGGTTTGCTCCATTAGGGAGTTTAAAAGGAAAAAAAAATCCAAAAAACCCACATATGTCAGAGCAGAACTATGTTCTGTAGGATTTTCAGTAGCCGGCTTTTCAGAAATAGATCGCCAGGCCTTTCTTTTGAGGCCCTCTGGGGAGACCTGAACTAATCTATTTGTTAGCAGCCGAACCCATTAACTGTTTACATCGTCCAGGGACTTTCCGCTCGGGGTACACTCAGGCAGTTACAGCACAGTAGGCTGAGTGTTTTGGTTGGAAAAATACAGAGTGCTCTAGGATCATACAGTAGGATCCAGGGAGGGCTTCCTCGAGGAAGTAATGTCTAAGCTGAGATCTGAAGGGAGGGGTAGAAGTTTGCCAGTCAGTCAGGGGCAGTGGCAGCAGAGGAGGAGGGTAGCAGGCTGAGGGAGGGAAGGATTCCTGCAGAGACTGGTGAAAACCTGAACACCTAAGAGCCTTTATTAATCAACCACCTTTAGCATTTGTGACAGACTTAGATGCTGGCGTTGCCTCTGTCCCTCACTGTGTGTTCCTGGGCCTGTCACCTACCTGACTGGTCTCCAGTTTTTCATTGGCAAAAAGAGAATTAAAATAGATGCTATAAACAGTCTCTTCTGACTCTAAGGTGAATATTAGAAAGTGAGTGGATCATTTTCTTTATAGCAGACTAACTTCCCTGGCCTTTTGCACACTTTGGTTTGCTTTTCTGATAGTTAGTGAGTACTTGATGAATGTAAGTAATTTTAATATTAGCCCATGAGAAACATAGCAGCTACATCCAGTGATCTAACAAAGGATGTGTTCTGAAGTCAAGAAATGAGATTTTGCTCATCCAAATCCTGATCCACCTCCAAGCTCCACTAGTACAGGTTATCAAGAGCAGACTGTTAGGTCTAGAGCTTGGGGGCTTGGAAGCTTCATGTTTGGAGCTATATTATTCTTGACACAGATTCCTTTAGTCACTAACGAATATGTTTTACTTTTTGATTCTTTGTTTTAAAAAAGTGAAAGGTCTTACCCTACTGTCTAAAGATTTCCCCTCTGTGGTTAGCTGCTCTTGAGTCACTCTTGACTCGCAGTGACGCTGTATGTGCAGAGTGGAACTGCTCCATAGGCTTCCAAGGCTATGACCTGTCAGAAGCAGATCACCGGGCCTGTCTTCCAGAGACACCTTTGGATGGGTTCAAACTGTTTGCCTCCTGTCTAGTAGTAGTCTGGGTACTTAACCTTTTGTGTCACCCGAGTATCCTTCTCAAACTTTAGTAGGCATGAGAATCACCTCATGGTCCTATTAAATGTGGGATCTGGCTCAGTAGGTCTCCCGGGGAGCCTGAGATCTTGTTCCTAACAGACTCTAGAGAGATGCTGCCGCTGTTCCAGAGACCCTCTTTGAATTGCAAGGCAGTAGGAGCTCTGATAGCGTCTTGCCTAAAAGCACTTGACTGCTAACCAGAAGGATGGCGGTTCAAACCCACCAGCCAATTCTCGGAAGGAAGATGGGGCAATCTACTTCCATCGTGATACTGCCTCAGTAACCCAAGGAGGGGTCGCTATGAGTCGGGTCCAACTCAACAGCACATAACAACAACAACAATAACAGGCTATTTAAATGTTGGGCAGTTTGAAGAGAGTCTGTTTAGGCCCTTAGGGAGTGTTGGACACCCTCTAGGAAGCTTTAGTATTCGGTGAGTCACTGGATTCAGCCAGAAAATGATGGACTCAGTAGACACTACTGAGAGGTTTTGACTTATTCTCGAGCTCCCCCAGGTGGCCCGATGAAAAATTAGTGTTGAAACATTGTTAACAGCAGTGGGAGGGAAGGTTGCTTAATATAAACATCACAAATGTTGAAATATGTATTAGCAGGAAATAGGAAGATGAAATATTGACAATGGGAAAAAGTATTCTACAGAAATTTTTTAGAGAAATTTAAAAAGGAATTGTGCGTGGATGCACTTAATATGATTTTGTTAATTTTATATAGTAATTGTGGGCACAATTGAAGCTGAAAAGGAAAGAAGAAAATCTGGGCTGTCGTCAAGAGTTCAGTTTCAAAACCAAGCCTCTGAGCCCAAGTACACTAAAGTACTCACTCTGAGTAGGCAGAAGCAGAAGGCGTGCATGGAGGAAACCCTCTGGCTGCAGGTGAGGGCGGCAGATGGTCAACTTTGTTTGTTTGTTTGTTTGTAGAAAGACAGAGTTCGGTTTTATCCATTATTCATCACAAATCATCATTTTGGACTACCTCAAAAGCATTCTTCAGTCTGACTTTTTATATACTAAATTCTAACACTGCACACTTTTCAGGAAAATATCAGAGATAAACTGCGTCCCATTCCCATAACTGCTTCAGTAGAGATCCAAGAGTCTGGCTTTCGTAGACGAATAAATTCACTTCCAGAAATCCTTCCAATTCTGAATTCAAATGAACCCAAGACAGTCCATGCAGATGTAAGTCTTTTTAACTTTTGTTTTGCCTTTTTTTATTTTGCCATATTATACTAAATCAAATGTCTTTGAGGGCAATAGAACTAATAATTTGCTTTAAAGGCCATTCCTTTGTATTAAACTTTTTAATATACACTGTACCTGAGATTTGCTTCCCAAATTAGCAATGAAATATATAGAAACAAATAAAATATAATTTGGTGCCAGAGAGTATTTTTTTCATGTCTTTTAGCCACTGAAATTTATTGAGACCGTGTAATTGGCAAAGGAACTCTGGTGGCACAGTGCCTAAGGCATTTGACTGTTAACCAGCAGGTTGGTGGTTCAAGCCCATCAGCCATTCCGTGGAAGGAAGATGGGGCAATCTACTTCCGTAAAGATTTACCACCTCAGAAACCCAATGGAGGTCGCTATGAGTCGGAATTGATTCTGTGGCAGTGAGTTTGGGGTGTATACACACACACACACACACACACGTAATTGACAGAGCTTATTATTCTCACATCAAGTTTCTCCTGTAGCTGCATGCTAAAAGATATATTGTATTTTACCATTGAGAATATGAAAATGTAGAAAACAAACTCTTTTTATTAGTCTGAACAAGGACTAATAAAATCAAGGAGTATCAAAATCCAGCAACACAAAAGATTATTAGCCATGAAATAGTCATTAAGTGCCTAATATAGCCTAAGTAATCTTAAAAAATTTATATCATATGGCTTGCTGGGCACTGCATATGAGGTGGGGTCTATTTACAAGGGTTTAGGATATCTGGAAGGCAAGGTTAGGCTGGAACCATGGCATTTGTTCCCCTAAATTTTATTTATTTTGTCGTTGAGAATATGCACAGCAAAACACACACCAATTCAACAGCTTCGACATATACAGTTCCGTGACATTGATTGCACTCTTTGAGTTGTGGAACCATTCTCCCCTCCTTTTCTGAGTTGTTCCTCCCTCATTAATGTAAACTCACTGCTCCTTGGGAGTCCTAGCAAATCTTTTGGGTTGCTGTTGTCAATTTTACTCCTTCTAGATAGTTCTTAAAAGAGCACAGTGCTCAAGGCAGAGCTTTTTTACTAAGAAAGCTAAACTATTGTCAGGTTTTAAGACGACTTCAGGAGATTGTTTTGGTGTAAGGTTTAAAGCTTATCTCAGGACAGTAGTTTCAGGGGTTCATCCACCCTCCATGGCCCCAGGGAGCCATGGCATCTTGACTTGGCATATGCTTATAGGGTGGTGCTGGAGTGTCCATTCTGGGGCTTTTGCATCTGGTGGGTCACTGACATAGCTTTTCAGAAGTAATTCCTCGCTTAGGAGCTGATGCCTAAATCTACACTTTGTCTATCTTTATTGCCACCAAAGACAGCTGCTTATACTTTGAAGGCCTTCAATGTTTGGGGTTATTATTATCATATTAATATTTTTCTGTGTATATTCCCAGCTCCATGTTAAACACAACAAGATGTTTTTCATAATTATTTGTCGATGTGATCATTGAGCAATTAGCATTGTGCTAAGTATTCTCTACATTTGCTTTCCTGACCTTAAGCTGTGTTTTCCTCATTTGTACAGTGGGGCTGATAATAGTATATTCCCTCATAGGTCTGTTGTGAGAATTGAATGAGTTAAAATATGTAAAAGTGCTACCTAGCATTATCACTACTATTAATTTTTACAACAGCCTTATAAAATGGGATGACAGTATTGCCATGTTACCTGATGAAACAGACTCTGAACAGGGTTTAAATGACTGCTCAAAACCACACAGCTCAGTAAGTGGCAGAGCCAAGTTTGGAAACCAGATCCAGGTGGCTGCAGGCCTCGTGCTCTTCACCTACCCAACGTTGCCTCTCTGTGCTTGCCAGAGCATCTTAAAACAGTTTCTTTATGGGCGGAGTGGGAATTAGAAGTATGGTGAGGTATCTTTGAAACTTGACTCTGCCAATGACTTTGTCATGCAGGGAAATGAACCTTCTAGAAACAACCAGTCACCTAATTAGATGCCTTTCTGAGTCCTGAATGGTATGAAGTACACTAATTCTGTTTTCCTATAGGTACACTTCTTAAAAGAGGGATGTGGAAACGACAATAAATGTAACAGCAACCTTCATCTGGAGTATAAGTTCTGTACCCGTGAAGGAAGTCAAGAAAAATTTTCTTACTTGCCAATGTAAGAAGCACTCAGTAATAATAGCAAAATGACTCTGGCTTTGCAATGGCTTTCTGTTAAGAAGCGGTTACTGAAAATGTATTGAGGACTTTGGTCTTTTCTTTGTTGTTGTTTTTTAACAGTCATAAAGATGTGCCAGAACTAGTTCTGAAAGATCAGAAGGATATTGCTTTAGAAATAACAGTTACAAACAGGCCTTCCAAGTCAAGGAATGGCACAAATGTTGGTGATGATGCTCATGAAGCCAAACTTATTGCAACATTTCCAGATACTCTGACTTACTCTGCATATAGAGAACTGAGGTCTTTCCCTGTAAGTATTTTTAGAAACCAGCTTGGGGGTTGTGGGAATCCCACACTGTATGGCAAATGAATATATTGTGACTTAGTTCACCTTTCCCTTATAGGAGAAACAGCTGAGCTGTGTTGCCAACCAAAATGGCTCACAAGCAGACTGTGAGCTTGGAAATCCTTTTAAAAGAAATTCCAGTGTAGGTGACACTTTCACGTATTTTATGGTTTAAATACTATTACAAAACTGATATGCTTGGCCTGTGTTAACAGCTTTTTATATTTTTTAGGTGACTTTTTATTTGATTTTAAGTACAACGGAGGTCACCTTTGACACCACAGATCTGAATATTAATCTGAAGTTGGAAACGTAAGAGCTACTTTCAGCCTTTCCATTGAGTATTAATTTCATGAAAATGCGGTGATTTGGCCCTGATCCAGCTCACAAAAGAAGTGTAATTGTCATAAGAAGGCTTACTGTTAAAATAAAACCCTATTGTTTCCTTTTCATTTCAGAACAAGCAATCAAGATGATTTGGGTCCAATTACAGCTAAAGCAAAAGTGGTTATTGAACTGCTTTTATCAGTCTCTGGGTAAGTGTTTGTGTTTACTCTAACAAATCAGTGTTTGAAAGAACCATTTACAATCCTCACTAAAACTGGTGTTTTTCAATTTAACAGAGTTGCTAAACCTTCCCAGGTATATTTTGGAGGTACAGTTATGGGTGAGCAAGCTATGAAATCAGAAGACGAAGTGGGAAGTTTAATAGAGTATGAGTTCAGGGTAAGTTGGAGCAGAGTTCCATTGGTCTTTTTTTTTGGGTGAAAGTTGACAGAGCAAATTCATTTTCTGTACAGCAGTTCATACACATTTTGTCTCATGACATTGACTTCAATTCCGTACAACATAATAGCTCTCTTCCTACTTCCTCCTTCTAGTTACTTCTTCCCTGTGTCCTTCACTCCCATGCACTCCCACTCCCCGGGCTGTCTCCCTGTGCAAATACTGCCCTTCTGTTCTCCCATGATTATGATCACTCCAAGTAGCTGTATCTACCTCATGTAAATGTTCACTCCATATGGCTGTCTTATTATTTGGTTGGAAGCCACAGGAGTGAGTTTAATTCCAGACCTGCAGGGTAGCTAGAGGCCGTAGTCTCAGGGGTCTCACCAGGCTCTATCAGACCACCAAACCTGGTTTTTTTTTTTTTTTTTGAGTTTTGAGTTTTGTTCCACATTGTTCTCCCACTCTATCCATTGGTCCTTTTATTATTCCAAAAGCTAATATATACTATGGGAGATCTAGTGGCGTAGTGCCAAAGGCACTTGACTGCTAACCAGAAGGCTGGCGGTTCAAACCCACTGGAAAGTTGGGCAGTCTACTTCCTTAGTGATACTGCCTCAGAAACCCAAGGAGGAGTCACTATGAGTCGGATCTGATTCCACAGCAGTGAGTTTGGTTTGTTTTACACATATACTGTAAGGAGCGCTGGTGGTTTAGTGCCTGAGGCATTTGACTGCTAACCAGAAGGTTGGCAGTTCAAACCCACCAGCTGCTCTGCAGAAAGAAGATGGGGCAATCTGCTTCTGTAAAAATTTACCACGTTGGAAACCCAGTGGGGGGTTGCTGTGAGAAAGAATTGGCTCAATGGCAGTAAGTTAACATATATTATATATGGTCTTCATTATGTAATTTTAATAAATAATATTTATAAATAACTAAACATAAACAAACGTTACTTAAAATCAGTTTGCTGCAGGGGGAACAGCTCACAAAAGGAGGGTGAAAACGATTGTACTGCTGGAGGAATATAGTCATTGTCACTGAATTTACATGTAGGGACAGTTGATTTGGTGTGTTGTATATATTCTCAACATAGGACTCTGTTAAGAATCCAACTTAATTTTTTTAAGTTAGAGTTTTAATACCTATATGTGGTATAGAAACAAAGTAATACTTGATTTTTCTACCCAGAATCCATGAAAAAAAAATCTAAAAGGAAAAGTAATTTCTATTTGGCTTTAGAATGTGTTACGATTTGTTTCTAACTTCACTGTAAGATCCTCTTCCTAAATGTTTGTGGTTGAAAGAATAATCACCTGTTTACCTTCCACAAGCCCAATTTTGTGATAGTCAGTGTGAAACGGGTACATGCCGATAAAGCCAGTTGCTGTCATGTCAGCTCCAGCCCCTATGTGTCAGAGTAGAGCTCCATGGGGCTTTTAATGGTTAATTGTTTTGAAACAGATTGCCAGGACTTCCTTCTGAGCTGTCGCTGCATGGACTTGAACTTCCAATATTTTGGTTAGCAGCCAAGCGTGTTAAACTGTATCACCCAGGGACTTCGTATGCCAATAAGAAAACCAAATAATTGTCTCTGAACCATTTCAAAGTAGGCAGTCACAATGACTGTGTCCAGCTAAATGAGCATAAACGTATAGCCCAGAGCCCACCCATACCTCATCCATGAGTTTGGCTCAGATTACCTTCCTAAAACCACAGGGGCTGTTGAGGTGAAAGTCTGAAATGGCAGGAATGAGCTGACCCGTGACTCTAGCAGGATGAAGAAGCTGAATTCTACTCTTGTGTCTCTGTCTCAGTTATGTAGTGCAGTTGTAACAGAAATACCACAAGTGGATGGATTAAATAAGCAAATTTATTTTCTCACAGTTTACAAAAAAAAAACAACTCACTGCCATCAGGTCGATTCTAACTCATAGTGTGACCCCCTTTGGGTTTCTGAGGTAGTATATCTTTACGGAAGTAGATTGCCCAGTCTTCTTTCCATGGAATGGCTGGTGGGTTTGAACCACCAACCTTCTGGTTAGCAGTCAGATGCCTTAGGCACTATGCCACCAGAGCTCCTCCTCACAGTTTAGGAGGTTAGAAGTCTGAATTCAAAGCACTGGCTCTAGAGAAAGGCTATCTTCTTTTGTCAGCTCTGGAGGAAGATGCTTGTCCCTTTTCAACATCTGTGGGCCTGGTGTTCTGTGGACATCTCCATGTGTCTTGGCATCAATCTTCCCCTGGGTCTAGGAGGTTCTCAGCATAGGGACCTTGGGGCCAAAGGACATGCTCCTCTCCCAGCTCTTTCTTGGTGGTAGTCAGGTCCCTCCTTCTCTGCTAGCTTCTCTCTACTTTTATGTCTTTAAGATAAAAGGTGATATAGGCCACACACCAGGGAAACTCTCCTTATGTCAGATCAGGGCTATGACCTGAGTAAGGATGTTAAATCATATCCTAATCCCCTTACAACTGATTGGTTGATCACATCAGATCATGTTATGGGGGATGATTACATCATTACATTTACAGCCAAACCACTGAGAATCATAGCCAAGTTAGCACATATTTTTGAAGGGCACAGTTTAATCCATGACAGTCTCTTAACACTAAAGACAGCTGTGAGAGGTGGTTGTGGTGGTTATGATTTTTGTGCAAGTGTGGCTGCAAAGGAAGTCTGTGAGTTCCGGAGTGGGGCTCCACACAACGAAGAGAGCTCTTACCACATGCTTTTGGGCTCTGTTACAGGAAGTTGCTCTGTTACCAGCTTGGACTATTAGATTCATGACTATCATATGGTTTTACTCCAGGTCTCTTGGTTGTTATCCCAAGTCTGCCTGGGTAGTAGAGGACAGAGGCTGCTTCATTTCAGTGGGTGGGGTTTCCCCAGGGCAAGTTGGTGCACTGCCGTGCATGGCACAGGCCTCCTCAGAGCAACCCACAAACACACACGATTCTTCTCCTTTCCCTGGGCCTGTTGAACATGTGGCATCCCTGAAGGGTCAGTTTTATTGCACACTGCAGTTTTTCTAGATTGAATTAGCAACCACTTCTCTTTGGTCTTATTTTTTTTTTCCAGTCCATTTTAAAATATTTAAACATTTTATTGAGATATAACCTATACTATTACAAGTCACCCACTTAAAGTAAACAATTCAGTGGTTTTTAGTATATTCAGAGTTATGCAACTATCAATACAAGCTAATTTTACAACATTTTCATCACCCCAAAAAGTAACCCCATATCCATTAGCTCTTAGACCCCATTCTTCACACTCTCCTCCCAGCCCTAGACACAAGTAATCTACTTTCTGTCTCTGACCTTTTTAAAAACAAAAATTTATTGACAAGAACCTTTAGGTGTAAATCTTTATTTTGAATACCCTATAAAACTCCATTTTATTGCTTTTATTGTAGGTTTATGTGAGATATTTTGACTTTTTTTCTCCTGGTGATAGGAGCTGCTACTTAATTTTGCATTCAAAGAATTACGTTGAGTTAACATGTATTATTTTTCTAATAGGTAATTAACTTAGGCAAGCCTCTTAAAAACCTCGGCACAGCAACCTTGAATATTCAGTGGCCAAAAGAAATTAGCAATGGCAAATGGTTGCTTTATTTGGTGAAAGTAGAATCCAAAGGATTGGAAAAGATAACCTGTGAGCCACAAAATGAAGTAAACTTCCTAAACCTAAAGGTATGTCAGTAGATGTAACTAATGTCTCCATAGACATAAGTAAGAGAAGATGACTCTTGAAAAGTCATCACTCTCCTTAGTCATCTGGCGTTCTGGCATGTTGACTTTTTCTGTGGTATCACAGTTTTTCTATTATAGTTGAGTAACCAAATCAGATTGAGGAATTTCTGCTGATTAGTGACCATCCAGGAGCTCTGGTGGCGTAGTGCCTAAGGTACTTGACTGCTAACCAGAAGGCTGGCGGTTCAAACCCACCAGCCACTCCTCGGAAGGAAGGTTGGGTAACCTACTTCCGTAGTGATACTGCCTCGGAAACCCAAGGAGGGGTCGCTATGAGTCGAGTCCTACTCGACAGCACATAACAACAACAACAAGAAGTGACCATCCTGGCACATAAGGCAGAGCCCCTCAGTGCTTGTCAAGGCCATAGCTACTTTCTGAAGTTTTATGACCAGCCCTTATCCTTATAGATAAGGGGGACTGAGATGTGGTTCTGGTTGGGGAAGGGGGTGTGAGCCACAAATAGTAACGCCTAGTTGACTTCTAATTGCACCAACCAAAAACTGTGTTGCATTTATTAGCCATAAAAGTAACCAACAGAACCAACCTACTAAGGGTATTGGTACTTTAGCGAATGACCTCGAAAGCTTTTCATTCTTCTTTTTTAAAACAATAAATATTTATTGAGCACTTGTTTACTTCAGGCTCTGTGCTAGTAAGTATTTTGTCTGTATCTTCTCAATTCATTCTTTTGATAGTTCTATGAAGTAAAAACTTTCATTATACCAACAATTTCATAAGTGAGGAAATTAAGATTCAGAGATTTAAGTTCAAAGTCACTCAGCTATAAAGAGGCAGATTTTTAACATTCAGGCTCAGCTCTTCCAGATTTCAAAGCCTGAACTTTTACACACCTCCCCCCAAACACACTTTGTACTCTTCCACATTGATGTAACTGATTTCTTATTTCCACCCCAGTCTGATGGATGTTTGCTGTCATTGCATGTCTTTTTTAAATTCTAAGGTGACTGGGGATGATGAATGTTCATAAAATAAACTCATTGTCATCAAGTCAATTCTGACTCATAGAAACCCTATAGAACAGAGTAGAATTGCTCCATAAAGTTACCAAGACTATAAATCTTTACAGAAGCAGACTGTCATCTTTTTTCCCTTAAGGTAGCTGGTGGATTCAAACCATTGACCAAATGGTTTAACCAGCCAAATGCCTTAACCACTGCACCACCAGAGCTCCTTCAATGTAGTCATACTTGGTGGCTTATAGCATGATCCTCTACTCATCAACTTTAAAAAAAAAAAAAAACAAGATGACTTATTATTTCCAGTGGTTATTATAAGGAAACATGAGTTTTAAAACTTTTTGTATGGCTGATTTATGATTATACTTTGAATAAGTCATATACTGTTTTTTTTTTTTTTGTCTCTTTCCCTTTCCTTAATGTCACTTATTCATTCAAGATGTGATTTTCTACTATGTATTAGGTACTGAGCTAGGTGTGTAGGAAGAAGGTTTGATCCCTGGCCTGAGGATGCTCCTTGTTCAGTAGGGAGGGAGACGGGAGCAAAGAGAACACTTTGTTTTTCCTGAGTTTTAAGGTCAGGGTGAAATGAATTGCCTTAATAAACTGATGTTTCAGATGGTAATAGCATATGCTAGTTCTATACTTCACTTATTTCAGTGCCTTTGGTGACAGGTAAGTGGTTAATGCTGATGGTTGAGTATGTGAATTGGGCATTGTTTGGGAGGGTGTGCTTATGAGATATCCACAATAATGACAAAGAGGTAAAGTTGGCTCTGTTTTGGATATAATTCTCAGGAGTCTCACAACTCAAGAAAGAAACGAGAAATTGCTGAAAAACAGACAGATGATAGCAGAAAATTTTCTTTATTTGCCGAAAGGAAATATCAGACCCTTGTAAGTATTTTCGAGAGCTGTGAAGATTTGCCCCTCTGAGGGTAGAGGAGAGGGTCTCCCCCAGAGCTTTGTTTTTCAACTGCTGATCTTCCTTTTCCCTGCAGAACTGTAGTGTGAATGTGAACTGCGTGAACATAAGGTGCCCACTGCGAGGGCTGGACAGCAAGGCTTCTGTTGTTTTGCGCTCGAGGTTATGGAACAGCACGTTTCTGGAGGTGTGATTCCATTCTGCCCCTGGAAGTCACTTGCCACCTGCTAGGACATACCTCACGTCTCTAACACATTCACTAACTTGTCTCCAACAGGAATATTCCAAACTGAACTACTTGGACATTCTCACACGGGCTTCCATTGATGTGACTGCTGCTACCGAAAATATCAAGCTGCCAAATGCAGGCACTCAGGTGAGAGAGACCCCAGTCCTCATTTAGGTTCAGAGAAAATCATTCTTCCCTCTACCCCACCCACGGCCTGGGGCTATGCTGCTTTGGCTGCCCATCTTCCTCATTACACTGTTTCCTCCATTAAGGAGAAAACAGATAGTGTCTTATGGTACTGCTTTTCAGTGGTGCTTCCAGCCTAAGATGGACTAGGAAGAAAGGACTGGTGATCTGTTTCCAAGAATTAGCCACTGAAAAACCCTAGGGATCACAATGTCTGATCCCATTGTGTGTGGTGTTGTCATGAGTGGATGCTGACTCAGTGGCAGGTAACGATAACAACAAGCCAAGCTGTGTTTTAATAGACTCACTGAAAAAATAAATAAATCTAGGGTCATCTAGTTCATCAGGGCATAGGGTAGTCTTGATTGGCTTAGTGAAAGAAAAATACACCTTCCAGCCCTGCAGTAACCCCCTGTCTTGTAGGGTCTCTGCTGTTGCAGCCATTATTAGAATGTCCAAATGATGGGAACCTCATTGCATCATGGGATAGCCCATGCCATGTTTAACCAGATGCAGTTATTAGAAAAAATCTCTCTGTATATGAATCCAGAATTGAACCTTGTAAAATAGGTTCTGCCCCTTAGGATGAGTCCAACTTCTTACTCTTTGTCACATGGCACCCTTTCAAATAGTTTGAAGGAAACAGAAACCTCCTTGGACAGGTCTGCTTTCTTTTCTTCAGAACTAAGCACCCTAGCTCTTCAGTTACTTGTCATGCAAGGCACAACCACACTGGTTCCAGGCCCCTCCCCATCCTGGGCCTGTTTTTGTTGGCAGTTTCCTAGTTGAGGTATAATTCTCAGCTGAGCTGTGGTCTTCCCAGTTCAGCTTACCCTGGGACCGTTCCCCTCCCAGCATCTCAGCACCACACTTCTATCTGCCCAGCTGAAATTCAGTTTTTAAATGTTTCCTGAAGATTGTGTTTGCGTCATTAGCCAGCTGTTATTTTTGTATTTCGGTTCTACTAAAACTTCCAAGTGTTTTTAATCAGAATTTATGGTCAAGCAATGCTTCCCATATCCTGTCCTTAAGGAGGTTTTAAAAATCAAAATGGATGAAATGAATCGTCACATTTTATGTGATTTGCTTTTGGTCCATTGTTTCTGTTTGCAAAATAATCTTGAATCTGGATTATTCTCTTAACTTTCTGTCACTGCAAAGCTTAATCAAAACTAGGAAGCATGCCTTTATGTCTTTAAGCAATTAACAATAAGATGGACCAGGACTAAGAAGAGAACCATGTGATGAACCACCAGTGAGGGGTTCCTTGTAGGGTCTGAAACTCACAGGAATAGGTATCAGGATCTCCAGGTAGAATGACTTCACCTCACAAGAGATATCATGGATAGGAATGTTTTACAAAGAGACTGAGTAGGGGAAGAATGGTTGTAAATTACCATTCTTACGTTGGCATCGATCTACTAATGGGAATTTTATAGTTTTATTTACTTAGTCAGCTGAAATCCAGAGAGCTTCTCTGATCTAATTGAGTCTCCCTGACTGATTTCTGAAATACAGTTGTCCTTTGGATGCCTTTACCATTTATCATCCAAACACTGAGATAAATGGTGTAAACCAGGGCTATCCCAGGCTCACATATGGTCACCCTCACCATGTTTATTTTTACAAGCTATACCAGTCCACCTTTCTCTGTCTTTATCATAAGGCATCGTAAGGGACTGTCAAATAAACCACAACTTTCTGTGCGTCTCTGGCTGAAGGTAGCTGCTATAGCTTTCTGTAACTTTTAAGTCAGCAACTCTGAGAATTACTGAGTTTTTAGAGCTGGAAAGAGAATTAACATTTTACAGGGAAAGGTCTAACAGTAATAAAGCATTAATAACAAGTTTCTCAGTTACTAGTTACTTCACCTCTGCTAAATAAATTTATCAATTTAAAGTTCAGAAGAATACTGAGTTAAACATTATACCCATTGCACAAAAAAGAAAGCAGGCTCAGGGGATGTCATGTGGGAACCTGGATGGAAACCCATGGCTGTCTGACTTCAGGGCTAGTTGTTTTTTAGCTTTTAATTGTGATTTGAGTGAAGTTTTACAAAGCAGATTTTGTTTTATATTCAACAGTTCATACACATTTTGTTTTGTGACACTGGTTACATTCCCCACAGTGTAACAATTCTCTTCCCCCTTCCTCCCTGTGGTTGCCCTTCCCCTGTGTCCTCCTTGCCTGTGCATTTCTACCTCCTTACCTTTCTCCCTGTGAAAATGCTGCCCTTCTGATCTCCATGGTAGATTGTTCTAAGGAGTACATCACCTGGTGTAAGTGTTCAGCTCATAGGCCTGTGTCTCATTCAGCTGAGTTAAGCCACGGGAGTGAATTCAATTCCAGGACTAAGGGGTGACTCAGGACCATTGTCTTGGGGATTTCACCAGTCTCTATCAGACTAGTAAGCCTGGTCTTTTTATGATTTTTAGTTGTGTTCCACATTTTTCTCCCATTCTATTCAGATTCTCCAATTTTGATCCCTCTCAGAGTGGTAGGCATTGGTAGCCAGGCACCATCTAGTTCTTCTGGTCTCAGAGTCATATAGGCTGAGGTTCTCATGGTCCATTAGTTCTTGGGACTAACTGTTCCAAGCATCTTTTATTTTCTTCACTCTTCTTTGCTCTAGCAAGGAGAGACCAATAGTTGTACTTTAGATGGCCACTTGCAAGCTTTTAAGACCCCAGTTGCTACTCACCAAAGTAAGTTGTAGAATAATATTTTTATATACCATATTGTGCCAATAGAGCTTGGTTGATGTACCCACCACCACCACCATAGTGTCCAGCCCACAGGCCCAGTGACTCACTCCCTCAAGGTGCTTAGTTGTGCTTTGCTATTACTGTAACTTTGTCTCCTGATGGGTTTAAACTGTATATAGACATTTTATAGCATATACAAATATATATGTAAGAATATTTTCTGCCAAACCTATATATGGTCGTGGGTATATTTCTATTCGCCTATCCATCTTGCCTGTCTGCCTAAGTGTCCACCTCTAGTTAATGTTTGCTATTACTGATAATGCAGTATTGTGTGTGTAATAGTATTTGCTTTTATTGACTTTCATAAAATAGTATTTTGCCTTTATTGTACAGAGCTCTTGTTCTTTCATTCCACAACTCTTGGTCCTCATTAAGCCCCTAAATCTCAAATTCAGGTAAGGACACTGAATCCAGGAACGTTTGTGTTTCCCTCAGTTCACACAACTAGCAAGTGGAGACCAGCCCTCAGTCCCATGACTCCTAGCAAAGTGCTCTCTTCTTCTGGAAGATGATGGGACTGGGGACCATGGTGGCCAATGTAGTACCTGAGTCACAAATTGAAATGGTGTTCTTTCGGTCATACCACATTCTTAGGACTTGGAGAACTCATGCCTTCTTGGGGCAATTAGAGTCTTCTGTGATCCTACTTTATTTTTTTAAATAATTAATTGATTTGTGAGTGGATTACTGATCTCTTATTTCTAGAACGCATTTCTTTTGAAAATTGAGACATTGGCTTATCTCTAGTTTTCTGATAGCTCTTGTATTCTGAGCTGTAATAGCTCAAATATCATATCTATATGTTTCCTTAGTATTTCAGGGTACAGTTTTTCTAAGCCTACAGATTTGAGCTTTAAATTCACGTGTCAAGATGTCTTCCTTTATTGTGGGTTTCAGTTTCATCCTTATCTTAGTTTACCTATTCCAGTCTGAAGATCATGTTCTTGGGAGATAAAAGCAAAATAGGTTGAGTAATTCAATCTTGTCATTTGGTCTTAATATCACAACTTCTTCCCATTGCTTTTATTCTAATCATGGCTTTTGGCAAAAAAAAAAAAAAAAGAGAGAGAGAGAGAAGAAAAGATCTTTCTGTTTCCTTAAAACCTAACCAGCTTCAAGAGATTTTTGTTCACTTTGCAATAAAGCACCTTGAAATCACTATAACAAGATCAGAAACCACATAATTCAGCCAGGTGAGATGGTTGCATTTTTGTATCAATTAAATTAAATCCATCTAATTAACAAAGAATGATTGAAGATACATGGTGCGCCTTCCCTGTGAAGAATGCCAGAGAAGCAAAGTTGAATAAGATACTGTGTCAATGTCAGGTCTGGGAACAGTGAACAAAGTGAGAATTATTTGAACTAAACCAAGGAGCTCTGGTAGCATAATGGCTAAAGCACTTGACTGCTAACCAGAAGGCTGGCGGTTCAAACCCACCAGCCACTCCTCGGAAGGAAGGTTGGGGAATCCTACTTCCGTAGTGATACTGCCTCGGAAACCCAAGGAGGGGTCGCTAGTGAGTCGGGGCCGACTCGACGGCACATAACAACAACAACAACAAACCAAGAAGGAAGGAGATTATTGATTGATTGATTTTATATAACCCTACTTTATTCCTAAGGAAGTAGGAAGAGAATATCTGACCACTCAAGATAGAAAAGAAAACACAAGAGATAAAAAATAAACACATCATTCTTTAGGGGCATGAGGTTTTGTGTTTTTTGTCTTTCTCTTTACTCTAAATTCAAAAAAGAACTTGAGAATAGGGATCCTTTTATAAGAGTGGATTTAATAGTTTCGTAAAAGACGTGCAAATCTCTTCCTATGGTGATTTTTTTAATACTGATATTCAGCAAAAGTGGAAGGTATTATATGACAGGGTGATTCAGGGAAAGTGCTTGGCCAGCTAATGTGTCCTAAGCGCTGCTCAGTGGTGGTTTAGCTTAACACATCAGCAGAGCTGAAGCCTCTTTCTTATAGTGAATGTGGCAGATGAGATTCACATGCATGGGGCATCCCTATGGAAATGCCTAGATTTTGATGAAAAAAAAAATTTTTTTTTTTTTTTTTTTGGAGTTGTAAAACCTACCGTAGTTTCTAATCACCTTAACTCTTCACTGTCAGTAGCAGTTGCTGTGACAAAGATAAGGCTTCTTAGCCCTCTGGGAACCAACACTTGGACCCCTCACCTGGTTCTAAGTCCAGCTCCACCCTTACTCCCAAATGGAGCTATAGAATAACTACCACACAAAAAACTTAAGTTGACAATTTAAGTAAACAAAAGAGAATAAAAACTTGTTGACTAGCCTCTCCCACCCTGCTGGACCACAGTGAGAACATGTACACAGAAGGTTTGCAGGACACATCTGCTCTTTAAATGTGTAGCCCAGCTCCTTGTTTCCAGCTTCATTCTTTTGATCACCAGTGAGTTGTTTTACACTTTCTAAAAGGTTCCAAGCTCTGGTTTTAATGGTAGCCAGAGTCAGGGCTTAGAGCTCCCAGCAGCTCCCCCTACCACTTCAGGCTACAAAATCAAAACTTGCCTGTTTCCGCCCTTATGTTGTTGGATTGCAACCATTTATGAGAACAGTTCTCTTTCTGCCATTATCAGCTATTTCAAAGGCTCTGATACATGGTGTGACTATAATAAGGCTTTCCACAGACCAATCCCTACTTCCAGATTTACCACAACTTATTCTTACAAAAAGGAGTCCTAACGGTTAAGCACTTGGCTGCTAACAGAAAGGTTGGCAGTTCAAACTTACACCCTGGGAGAAAGACCTGGAGATCTGTCTCTGTAAAGATTGTAGCCTAGAAAACCCTATGGGGCCGTTCTTCGTCACATGGGGTTGCAAGGAGTCAATGGCACCTAACAGCAACAACATTCTTACAAAGGGAGTTCCTGGGTGGTAAGGGCCCTTCATCCAAAGGTTGGAGGTTCAAGTTCCTCAGAGGTACCTTAGAAGAAAGGCTTTAAATATCTGTCTCTAAAAAATCAGCCATTGGAAACCCTACACAGCACAGTTCTACTCTGATACACATGGGTACCATAAGTCTGAAATGACTCCACTTCAACTGGTTTATTCTTACAAATGAGGATGTCCCTCTCTAGTGGTCACTTTGCCCCAAGGACACTGTGTGCCTCCCCTGTGTGAGACACTAGGGAAGCAAAGGGGAATGAGCTATGGCATGTTGTTGTTGCTGTTATGTGCCGTCGAGTCAGACCTGACTCATAGTGACCCCTCCTTGGGTTTCCGAGGCAGTATCACTACAGAAGTAGATTGCCCAACCTTCCTTCCGAGGAGCTATGGCATATGGTAGTGGAAAGATTTTTTTTTTCTTTTTAAGGGTAGTCAGTTAACCGGTTACATAAGATAATCAACTATATTTTTCTTCATTGGTTTCTCACCATTTCTTCTTTCTTCCTTTGATGTATGCCCCTGTACTAGAGCCAGTTGTTGTCATTATGTGCCGTCGAGTCGGACCCAACTCATAGCGACCCCTCCTTGGGTTTCCGAGGCAGTATCACTACGGAAGTAGATTGCCCCATCTTTCTTCCGAGGAGTGGCTGGTGGTTTGAACCGCCAGCCTTCTGGTTAGCAGTCAAGTGCCTTAGGCACTATGCTACCAGAGCTCCTACTAGAGCCAGTAGTCTTAAGGATTTAGTTTTAGCTTAAAGGTGGCATACCTGTGGAGGAGGGGAAGTGAGCCATTAGGCCACCCTGGGGCTGGGAGTTTGGGGTAACCTCATTTAGAGCGTAATAGGAAATACCGGTGATAACAAGTGTGAATTCTGCCAACCTGTTATAGTCAGTGTACTGACTATATATGAATTCTTGCCTATTAAATGTTGAAAGAAAAGCAATTTTCTTTCTCTGAAGTATTTTCTATGGGTCAAGTGATGTTTATAACTATTTTCTAGTAGCAGTACAAAAGGAAGTACTTTAATGGAAAGATTTAAGACAGTCATAGTATGTATAGTCAAAGTGTAGAAGTGCAGTGTGGGAGGGAAGCCTTTTTGGGCAGCATTCAGAGCTGATCACTTGGCTAAAAAACTCTTCTCAGAAGCTAAATCCTCCCTCTGAGTCGTGTTTACCCTTTATCCTCTTAATTCAGAAATACCAGAAACTTCAAACTTGGAGATCTCTAATCAGTATGGTTTCCAAAATCATATGGCAATCACTAGGTCTTTTATGTACTTTTAAAGACGGTCTCCTGGCATCACAAAAGTCCACTTGAATTCTCCTACACCCTTATAACTGAGTTATTGTGAATTGCCGTCAGCAATTTAGTAGGTTTTTGAACAAATACGGTTTCTATTAAATTGGTATTTGCCATCCTTCAAGTGCTTAAGGGTTATGCCTCTCATCAGCTGCAGCTTAAGCTCTAAGCTGCCTCTGGATAAATCTAGGGTTTGGTTTGTTCATGCACATGTGGAGGATGGCAGCATTTCAGGAAATATAATAGTTTTGGGGGGGTTCTTAGTTTGATATCCTAAGGAAAAATCAGGTAGCTCTATCCCTATTTTTATATTTCACAACATCTTTGAAATCTGAATGAGGGATTTACGCAAACTGGCATATGCTGCACCTTTTATTTCCATTGCAGAAAATTAATTAAAAGAAAATGTGAACTTTCTCAAAAATACATCAGATTTTATATATTAAACAAGATTGACTGTATCGATAATTATTGAAACTGGGTGATGAGTACATGAAGATTTGTTATACAGTTCTCTCGGCTTTTGCTGATAATAACATTTTTTAAAGATATTGAGTTAATAAAGAAACAGCTGATTTGTCAGATCACCATCCAGCATTTTCCAGATTCTGGGAAACAATTTCCAAAGAATGCCTCTGGAGGCAGTATTCTGTTATTAAGGGAAAGAATCTTACATCAAATTCATCGACCCAAAGGTTGCATTGTCCAAAATGAGTTTGGAATCAGAATTAGAACCCTAAACTCCTGATTCCCTTTCTCCCCAGTTTATGGCAGTGGTGCTTTCTCTCATACCTCACAGGTTCGTGTGACTGTATTTCCCTCGAAGACTGTAGCTCAGTATTCAGGAGTACCTTGGTGGATCATCCTGGTGGCCATTCTTGCTGGGATTCTGATGCTTGCTCTATTAGTGTTTTTACTGTGGAAGGTAAGTCGGTATCTGGCATTTGAGTTTCATGATAAAACTCTTTCATGTCTCTAAAAATTTTTAAGTTTCGTATCTTTAAAAGTAACACTGATAATGCGTTTCTTTTTCATTACTTCCTTCCTCCTCCAATATTTCATTATGAAAATTTTGCAACATGAAAATTTGAAAGAATTTTACGATGAACTCCTGTATACCTACCTACATGGTAGCTTGTTTTTAAGGTGCATTATTTGTACACGATTAGAAGTTTCTTAAACGTCGATTTTGGTGCCTTTGTATGTAATTTAGTGTATTTGGCAAGTAATTTTACTTTAATACTTTAACATTGTTCTCATCTAAGATCAAATTCTGCATCTAAGTCAAATTGTTGGGTATCAAATTAATCTGGATCTGTAATCCCTGCTGATTTCAGTTTGGGTAAGGAAATGTTCATGGCAGCCATTAAAGTAGACATGAGTCAGACAACTAACAACAGCAACCAACAACAGCAGCAGTTGCAGCTAGATTTGTTGTTGTGTGCCATCAAGTCAGACCCGACTCAGCAACTCCTCCTTGGGCTTCCGAGGCAGTATCACTACGGAAGTAGATTGCCCCATCTTCCTTCTGAGGAGTGGCTGGTGGATTTGAACCTCCAGCCTTCTGGTTAGCAGTCAAGTGCCTTAGGCACTACTGTACCAGAGCTCCTGCAGCTAGATTAGATTAGGAGTAGAAAAGTATGAAATTGAATGAGTAACTCCAACCCTAGTGGTCGTTATAGCCTATAACCAGGACAAGGAAGGTTTCTCAAGATGACAGTTCCTCATTAGAATTTGGGGACTGCAAATAAAATATCTTCTACTTGCTTCCTACCAGAAAATAGTCTACATTACAAAAAAGTATGTATGAGATGAGCTTATACTTTGGTTGCCAACAGTTAGAACCTATAGATATTGGATTATTTCCAGTGAGTAATGGAGATTCACACCCTTCTCTGTAATCCCAAATTCCAAAAAGCTCTGGAACTGAAAGTTTGTGGTGACTTTGATGGCATCAAACTCGGATGTGACCTGAAGAGGGGCTATTTATAGTCTTTATCCTTTATTCATTAATTTGATTTCAGAAATATTAACGTTTTTACTACAGTAGCATTAGGTATGTGCCATACACCTTTTCTGAAAAGCAAAAAATTCTGAGTTCCAAAACACCCTTGGTGCAGAGAGTTTTGGATAAAGGACTGTGAAGCTCAACTCCCAATCTTCTAAACTCAAACACCTCCTGATCTAAAGAGTGTGATGGATAAGTACTCAGAATAGTGTCGTTTTAACATGCTAAGGATTCCTTTTTGGCTTTATTTTCCCAAGTAATTTCCTTTTGCCAATATAAGATCACTTTCTGGTGTCCTCCAAATGTGCATTTGAAGCCTGGTATCTGCTAAAGCCAAAACTCATCCCATCGTGGGAGGTCAGCCAACCTACCTCGGATGTTTAGTTCAGGCCGCAGGCTTCTCGGGCAGGTACAACCAGCCAACGTCGAGATGGCTGAAAACTTATTTTGGTATCAAAAACTGAATTTGGGATTTGATACTTGAGAATGTCCCTATCTGCTCTCTGGAAGAACTCACAAGGACAGTCTTCTTTAGAGCAGTTCTCATTGTCGGTCTTTAATGAGGGTGTAAACATGACAGTGGGGTGAGATTTAAGAAAACGAGCTATGTGATTTTAGCCAAATTATTTCACTGCCTTGAGATACTGCTTCATGTCAGTGCTTAATAAGTGTGTTGGATTAGATGATCTTGTCCGTTTTTTTTTTGAAAGCTCTAAAGTATTCAGACACCAGGCAGATTATAAAGTAATCAGTTACCTTCTACAGCCCCCATATGAAAATCATTTTTATTACTTTATATACATTATTTTTTCTTAAACTGGAGTATTTGGTTTTATATATTAAACTTATAAAATATTGAGGTCAGAAAGGATGCCAGCTCTATGGTCTTTACTTTTTTTTTTTTCCCTTAATCCATGTGGATGCTGATGCTCAGTCAGGTGGAGCTTGTGCCTCCATCTACCACTTGAGTCATAGCAAGCTTTGAATATTGGGATTCTACTTAGGATTTTGTTTGGCAAGGAAAAAAGAAAGTCTCCACACTAGTCCAGTTACTTTCATTTTGCAGACAAAGATGCTCATGAGTTTGAACCGCCAGCCTTCTGGTTAGCAGTCAGATGCCTTAGGCACTACACTACCAGAGTTCCTAAAGATGCTCACGCCCAGGGTTATTAAGTTGTCAAGTTAGATGACTCTTGGTTTCTGGTCCATTCCTCTTTTCACCCTTTTTGTTAGCACATGTTATTGAAAGTTGATTGTGTTTGTTCATTGTGTATTCAATTAAGAGTTGAAAATAGATACCAGGATAAATAGACTATATCAACACTGCCCAATAGAATGTTCTGTAATGGTGGAAATGCTATGAAACTGTGCTTTTCAGTAAGGTAGCCATTAGTCATATGTGGCTGTTGAGCACTAGTGCAACTCAGGTATTGAATTTTACATTTTATGTCATCTCAATTCGTTTGAATTTTGATAGCCCATGGCTGTTGGCTACCATATTGTACAATGCAAATGTAGATTTTAACCTTCGTGAAGTTGCCGACTAGGAAGCAGAATTTTGCAGAAGGTCAGAGATTTATTTGACCAAGTTTTATTTCAAAGGTCAGTTCCATGGCCTGATGAACGAGATAAAAGCAAATAGAAAAAGTTCTCTACCACTGAATGAAAGAAATTATGGTGGAAATGGAATTATACTTTTATACTCATTTAGAGTGACCTAACCTGAGGTACTTAGACTTCCACCATTTAATTTCATGGTGGTTCAGAATTTGGGAAAATGCTAGTAATCATACTTTCATGATGGTGTATTCGAATTTATATTGTGATTCATCCCCTAGCCAATGGCCCCAACTAGATTGCATTTGCTCTATAAAATTTACTCCGAAAGGCAGAAAAATACCCACAGTGGATCTGTATTTCATTTAGATTTGTGCAAAATCTTAGAGAATTCTTTTTCTAACCTTTGTCTCAGTAAACTACAAAAAATAATCTTTTTCCTATTTTAGAGTCCATATTCTCCTGCAAGGAAAAACCGCCCAAAGCTCCAATCAAATGTGTATATACATTTTCCCTCTTAAGATGATTTCTGCCCTTTGAATTTTGGTTCCAGATAGAAAAATCAAATAGCTGACCCGTGTCATCCAGATAAATCTTTGGCCAGAGAACCAAAGATGAACCAGGGGTGATAGAGTTGGGTGAATGCTGTCACGATACATTATAGTGCAGTGGCTGTTTGCTTAGGGGTCGATCCATAGGGGTCTCTTTGTAAACAAGCTGTTAATAGAAAATAGGTGAAAATCAGAAGTTTTCTTTTGTTTAGCTCTTACATACAAAATTGTAAAATTGACTAAATACCTTGCTTCCTTGTAGTGTGGTTTCTTCAAGAGAAATAAGAAAGATCATTATGATGCCACATATCACAAGGCTGAGATCCATGCTCAGCCGTCTGATAAAGAGAGGCTTACTTCTGATGCGTAGTATTGATCTACTTCTGTAATTGGTAATTGATTGATGTTTTTTAATTGCTAGCTGTGGGACCTGCTATGGTTGTGGTGGCTAACTTTAAGAGCAACAGCTTGCTATGTGTGTCCCATTAACAGATGTTTCCAAATGTCCACACTGGCTTGCCTTGCTTAGATTTATTTATTATATGTGAAAGCTCACAGTTTTTAAAAACACACAAAGAATCTTTTGTTTCAGGTGAGTTGTTTTGTGTTTTTGTTATTACGCATCACCCATGACAATGGACAAAATCTCAATCATTGTACACGCAAAAGGAGGCTTCGGACCTCCGTGATAGCCCAGTTTGCCACGTGTTGTTAAATCTAGTTATGTAGCATCCCACTTGGAATTTCAAAGATGCATAAGAAATCAGTTCCGATTTCTTGTCCATTTTGGAATCTCCCTCAAATAGAAGCTTGTGTTGACTGCTTAATTAACCTGCTGCATGTTGGAAACATTGTGTTTCTCTTGATGACAAGACTTTCTCACTGTTCTCTTTTTTGATCTCCTTGTCCTTGCTGTAAAGTGATGGGGGAAGGCTTGGAATGCTTTTGTTGATGCTCTCAAACTATCTTATGCTAGCTAAGCATGCACTTTCCTCCTTTTGCATATCTACTGCAGGTCAAAGACCATTACAACAAATTACGGGTATCAGCGTGATGAAGATTATGGCCAACTTCAAAAGATGGTCCTCTTAACCTAAGCAACTTTCAATATACAAAATGTCTAATTCAAAAAAAAAAAGAGTGCTCTGGACAGTTTTTATTTCAATATGTTGTAATGGAATTTGACCTTGTTTTCATGCTCCTGGAAATTTTATCCAACCTTGGGTCTCAGTTAATTTAAGTTCATGTCTTGCCTCTCTTTTTGTAAATCCATGGAAACAGGAATTGGTGGTGAGTCCTTTTTCCATTTCTGTGGACATGAGAAGATAGAATTATTCCTATAATCTCTTTCCATGGCACTGTTAGGGTGTACCCCAACATTGCCATTGCAGTTTTATGTATCACCCTTAATTTCCTTTGTTTAAATGGGGCAGCAGTCATATTTTGTGATCAATAGGTACTTTGGCCCTTTTGCACAGAAAAATAAATGTCAATGTGGAATTGGCCCCAGAACAAAATTTCTTGGTCCATTTTGCCTATTGATTTAGTGGTAGCTATGCACATAATTTTACTCGTCCCATGGCATTCTTATAACATAACATCATTCAACATAAACATTCTGTTTCTGTTGATGTCACATAAGAAACTTATTATTCAACTATTTTAAGTATCTGCCTCATCTACATGTCTTTGAATTGCATTTCTAAATGAAAACCCCTTGTATTTTTTATTCATTAAAATATATTAAATCTGATTTTAAAATGTTTAGATATGTTCTTAATAAAAATCTTCTTTGGATCAGATTTTTTAATGAAAAAGTAGATATCTTATTAACAATTTAAACATAAATAGTCTTTCTTTTTCCAAAAGAAAAAGAAATCAGAGGGTCCTCTGAGCTTAGTGCAGCCATACCCTCCTCCGGTCCTCTGCAATACATGATTGCTTTTATTGCAGGGCACGGTTGCTACATGCTTATTAATACAACCGTTCAAATTGAAAGCATAACAGCAAATGCAGGCAAAGTAAATTACCTTTTCGCTGAGCTGATGAGTTGTGATTTGTTTACTAGCCCCTCAGAGAAGAAGGAGAGAGAAGATTCTTAAACTGACACATTAACTTGAACACTGGTATATTTAAATAGTAACATGGCTAATATCTGTGACCTGATTTCCATTTTATTATTGGGAGTGGGCATGATGTAATCTTTGGCTTATAGCCTTAAAATGATATTCTAGGAATCTGAAGATAAGATATTTTACAGATACTATGATGATTTAAAAAAAAAGTATCTCATAAACTCTTTAACATGTTAGTAAAGAGGTAGTTTACATTGTTATAAAATGTTAAGACAAGCTATAAATGGAAAAGCTTTTTTCCATTTCACAGCTGTTCTTCTCTTCCATATATTCCTATTGGCTGTTATATTTTATTTTCAGACCTATTAGTTCTTTCTTTAAAGAAAACATTTTTTTTTTTTTTTCCTTAGTCTAGAGGTGGGCATAGCTGAACAGACAGTTTAGACATCCCCAGTTAGGGCAATTGCTTTTTCTGAGATTAATTTGTTTTTGTTTCTCTTTCCTTCCTTCCCCAGTGTGGATTCTTTAAACGCTCTAGGTACGATGATAGCGTTCCCCAATACCATGCTGTAAGGATCCGTAAAGAAGAGCGAGAGATCAAAGATGAAAAATATTACAACGATAACCTTGAAAAAAAGCAGTGGATCACAAAGTGGAATGAAAATGAAAGCTACTCTTAGGGGAGCCGCAAAAGCTCCACAGCACCCAAACTGCTTTTCTTTTTCCATCCCAACACAGAAATTCAGATGGATTTTAAGGCCCTTCAGTACCTGAATATTGATTTCAGACTGACTACACAACAGTACGAACCTACAGTTTTAACTGTGGATATTGTTACGTAGCCTAAGGCTCTTGTTTTGCACAGCAGAATTTAAGACTGTTGGAATGGATTTTTCTTTCACTGCCTTAATTTAACTTTCTGGGTTGCTTTTGATTTTGGTGTGGCTGACTTACATGTGCTGGGGAAGGGCCTGCTGGGTCGTGCTTCTATGACATCCTCTTGATCATGTCGCAGAGGAAGGTACCACCCAACCTCCCAATCTCAGCACTGCCTCTGCAAACAGTCTTCCCTTAGGATTGGAGAACCTGCAGGTTAACTGGCCCGCATTCCAAGATTCTGCTGCCAGGGTAGTTGTGTTTCAGTTTAAAGTGCTGTCTTAAATTAAATGTGCAATAGAAGTGACATTGCCATCCTGCCATCTTTTCCCATCTCCTAGGTGTGTGAGTGCTTGCTCACACCAAATGCTTACAGGCTTCATGCTCTTTTCACTAAAACACACAGGTGCGACAGATTTGAATGCTAGTTATACTTATTTGTATATATTTAGCCCTGGTATTTATTTTGTAGTTTTACCAACCATTTTATTGACAGGCCAAAGATTCTCCAGTTGACCCTGCAGGTCGGTTTAAGCAATCAGAATTAGAACACGGGAGGTCATTGGTTTGACCTGCAAAGGGAAAATACTAATTCTTTATAAATGTGCTAGAGAGTTGTTTTAATAACTTAATCTTATCTGTAAATTATAACAGCTTCTTCTGTGACAGACCCCACCCCCTTCTTCCAAACCTCAAAAGGTTTGTTTAAGAAATAGGATTGACTGTAAGATATTTCATTCTTATCAGAAATTGGATATTTTGGAGTTTAGAGTCCTGTGTGGATTTCTGAATTCCATGCTATAACTTTCAGGAACTCTTGGAGAGAATGAATGGGTTTATTCACTGAACTCCAGGGCAGTTCACTCACTGCTGCAAATACTGTATATTCAGGACTTGAAAGAAAAGGTGAGAGTGCCTATGGTGGGTCCAGACTAATCGCCGTCCTGTGTGAGACTACTGAAATCTGACGCCAAAACCGAGATGCTCGGCAGATAAAAGACATCATGGCTTTTAAGTTTTTAAATGTTTATTAGAACCATTTAATCAGTAAGTCATTGTTTTGTCTTGTTTTTTTGTTTGGTTTCCTTTTTTCCCCTATCCTGTATTCCCAAATTGGCTTTGAGACTACTTTAATAAGAAGTTGTTTTTTAATTGTGAAAATGAAAGAAGATAAAAAGATATTCTTCTCTACATTCAGTCGAGTTCCAAGAGAAATGAAAGCTGATTTTTTTTTTTTTTTTTTACACTGTGCTTCAAAATGTTAAGTTATATGGGGGAGCAACAGCAAACAGGTGCTAATTTGTTTAGACAGGAGCAGTGTCTTAGTCTTTTCAAAGAACAAACTACAGCTGTGTGTGCCACTGTTGCTTTAGAGTTTAAACTGCTTTTTCTTTTCAGGAAACTTATACCCTGAAGATACTAAGGACATTCTTCTGGTTGTACTTTGGAGTTTTCATTTGCAAAAATAGTTATACAAAAGATACTTTGTTTACAAAAATTTCTCTAAAACAGGGTCATAACAGTATTTAAAATCTCAGTTTGTTGATTAGGTAACTCAAAAAGTCTAATGCACTGGCTTGATGAGTCACTAAGAAGCTGGTGTTTTGACAATGTGCCTAGACCTTTGTTATAAAAATGAATGTCTTAAGAAGTGGGGAGGGTTGGGTCGTTCAACAACAAAGAAACAATGTTGTGGTATTGGAATTTAAAGTTGTTAAAAATGTCATCTCAAGTCAAGTCACTGGTCTGTGTGCATTTGATACATTTTTATACTAACTAGCATTGTAAAATTATTTCATGATCAGAACATACCTGTGGATATTTGTATAAAAGTGTGAAATAAAATTTTTTAAGAAAGTGTTCATTCTAAATAACGAGCATCGTATATGTGAAACAAACTTTAAAGTTATAAATGACAACCTGCATTGCCTTTCTTTTCATTTTATCAAACCAGACTAAAGTTTGCTTTTAGAGTACCAAACAGTTTTAAATGATTTTATTACTCTTAATGCCCCATATCATCTCAGATCAGCTAAAGATACCAGTGCAAAAAATAAAACAACTGCAGTGTGATTAGGTTTATTTTTTATTTTTAATCAACTGTTCAAATCTTTACAGTAATGTTCCTTCTTTATAAGTAAAAGAAAATGCCCTTTAAAGATGGTTTATTTAAGATATCTGCCAGTTGTGAGTTGTGTTTATATTGATTCATCTGTTTTCAAAAGCTTATGCTTGTGAAGGACAGGGTATTGTTTAGCAGTGATTGCATGACACAAAGAATAAAAGTTCTTGTGGCTAAGTTTCTTCCTTCTTTAGAACACAAGTTGAATGTGAGCAGTCCAGCTGTGACCTGTGCCATTATACTGATCACTGGGACTGGCCAGTCAGAAAATATTTTCTTCACCAAAGGACTTCATTTATATTAAAGCAGTTTTCTGAAACTTGTCTAGCTGGATTATCACAATGTAATGAAAGAAAATGAAGCGTGAATAGCGTGCCCACACAGTATAGCATGCCCTGGCCTGAATAAATTTCCAATCTTAAATGTATTTGCCTAGAATATTCAGTAATCATTTCCCACTGTATTCAATATTATATATTAAATCTTAGCCTACTTGGCTCTTTAGAGGTCAGGCATACGTTGCCACCCAAAGAAATAGGAGTGGCACTTTTTAATGATTTGGCCCAGTGGCTGTGAAACTTACTAAACCACAGTTCACATATCCAGTCTCATAGATAGACTCAGATTTTAACACAATCCTAGAAAATTTTGCCTGGAATGCAATTTAACCATTGAGTTTAGCAGGATGCAACCAGATACCTCATGGGATTTGGTTCCTTTGTTTGAGGGTGTAAGGTCATGATTTCATGGGACATCCCAGTTAATTGGGGTTTTTAGTGCTTGTACCTCCTAGTTTGTTGTATAGTGCCTGGGGTCTTAGAAGCTTGCAAGCAGCCATCCAAGGTACAACAGTTGGTCTCTGTTCACTTGGAGCAACAGCGGAAGGAGGAGAATCTGGATCAGGAGGAGGAAATGGAATGTGTGGCTAATTGCCTCCATGAACAGCTGCCTCCTTTGTCATGAAGCCAGAAAAAATGGATGGTACCCGGCCACCATTACTGAACATCCTGATAAGAGATTCTATAGAAGAATCCTGATCAAAGGGAAAATTGGAGGAAAATTTCAAATTCTTAATGGAATCCAGACTTTCTAGAGCCATAGAGGCTAAATGAACCCCCAGAACTACTGCTCTGAGATCATCTTTAAACAAAAAATATCCCCTGAAGTCTTCTTAAAACCAAACAATGTAGCTTCACTTGTGAAGACTATCTGCCCTGAGCGCTGTGCTCTCTCAAGATCTGTCTGTATGGGATCACACTGACAATAGCAACGTGAAAGATAAGATGGGAAAGTTAAGAGGCAGTTTGTTAACTGGGAAGGGACGATTTGGAAAAGATGGATGAAAATACACAACTTGAATTAAAATCAGTGGCACTGAATTGTGCATTTAGAAATTGAGTTGGTAGATATTCTCAACAACAAAAGCATTAAGCTACAGAAACAAGACTCAGAATTCCCTAATGTTGCAAGGAACAAGCACAAACTCCAAAACCAAATTCATGCCATGGAATCAGATCTGACTCATAGCCACCCCTCCTTGGGTCTCCAAAGCAGTATCACTACAGAAGTAGATTGCCCAACCTTCCTTCGGAGGAGTGGCTGGTGGGTTTGAACCACCAGCCTTCTGGTTAGCAAATGCCTGCCTTGAGGATTCTTCCTGGCTAAGTCATCCTGAGTCCAAGAAAGAAGCATAAAGTTGTGTTTTGTTTTGTTTTGTTTAAGAGCTTGTTTTACATTCGACGTCACGCATACATTTAGTTTCATTCCCCATTCGCCATGTCCAATCCTAACCCAGTCTTCCCCTCCCTACCCTGCATCCCTCCCCCTGTGTCCCTCATAATTATGCACTCCTGTTTGTCCTGCATTTCCTCAGTTTGAATGTTGGTCCTTTGGTGACCCATGGTCTATTTCTTTAAGGGATGTATTACCATTGAGTGTGTGGGTGAGGCATCCTGGGTTGAGTGGTCTGCGTGTACGTCTTGTTAACGATTGGGCTGAGAGCCAGCCCCTGGGGGTGAGTTTTATTCCAGGTACCGAATGTATTTCAGGGCCATAGTATTGGGAGTCTCACCAGACTTCATCTGACCAGTAATTCTGGTCACTATTGAGTTTTTGGATTTTGTTCCACATTTTCCCTCCCACTCTATCCAGGATCTCCAGATTTGATCCTTTCCTGAGTGGTTGGCATTAGTAGCCGGGCACC